ACTTGCTACAAGGATAAACATTCTAAGTATACAAACAAATAAGAAAATATATAATTATTTGTAATTAAATGGCAGACAGGCGGGCAAGGAAGGAATGAATTAAATGTAAAAAATAAAATTCTGTATATAACAATATAATTAATTTTTGTGTTGAAATATGCGACCCTTAGCGAGGCGATTAGGAAATAGGTTTTTTGGGCACTAACATTATTAGAAGATAATTATTTCAATTTTTTTTTTATTTGTGCAACATTTTTACTGCAACCAACGAGCTCTGTCGCATCGGCCAGCCTGTAATCATGGAGAGTTCACTCTACAACTTTCGAAAGCCAGTGTTTAGAAGATGCACATATTTCTAGAAGAAATGCATGCATGGCTTTGATTCTTATCACATCCATGTGTGTGAATTAGTTGCAGCCTTATCAGAGATTATTATTATTCATAAATAATAATATAATGTCTGTCATGCCGGGGCCTCACAGACACACACACAAAGGTCTCCCACACTACCTACCTACTACCATAAAATAGTATTCTTGGTGCATTCTTAAATATGATTTTCTTTGTAAGCTTAGTGTTAAAATGAAACCATTTTTTTTCTGAATGGCATTTCTACTAGAGCTAATCTTGCAATTTTATTTTACACCACAGTTTCAAACAACCAATTCTTACTTAGATGTTGCCCAGGTTCCAAATGATAGATCACATTGGTAACCCTTAACACATCTTTTCTACTCAAACTCCATTGCATTTGGTCTTCTTGGATTTCTTCTGTGAGTGAGATCTAGATCTAGATTGTGCCAATAACTGATAATAATAACGATAACTGTGACAAGATTTTCAACCAGCTGAAATCAAAAAATTGAAACTCAAAACCATAAATAGAATAAAATAAATTGAAAAAATACATTTCAGAACAAGTTTAGACTTAGTTGAATTATGAAAATCTATTCATTGTATTTGTTAAGGTAAAAAAGCTATATACATCAATGTCAACTGTTTAAACAAGTCCAACATCTGGAAATAATAACACAAGATAAAGTTCTTGGTGTGTTCTTCTAAATCCGTCACGATTAAGAACATGAAGTGTCACAAACCCTATTCATTCTGTGGGTGTCATAAGATGAGACTAAGGGAACAAGCTACGCAGGATAACAGCACTGCAAAGAGAAGGAAAACCTGACACAAACCCTATACCAAACCGTCGGGCCAGCATAGTAAAGTAGGGCCGAAACCTCCATTCTAAGGAGAGGTCTATGTCTAGCAGTGGACTACTAAAGGCTGCTGATGATATTTAAATTTGCAATGATATCGGTATTTTAATAATATGTGCAGTATGTTAACAGGTTCTCAGGATGTATAGAGAAAGGCTATACTTAGTCTGGGCCTAGACAAGCGCTATGAATAGACCTAGAATATTAAATTTATTATTACAGGTGAATATTATATTATTCAATTTGTGTTTACTTAGGAATACTGTTTTTAGGGTTCATACCTCAGAATGTAAAAAAGGAACCTTTATAAGATCACTTTCTTGTCCGTCTGTCCGTGTGTCACTACCGATTTTCTCAGGAACAGGTACACCTAGCAAGTTTATAATTTATAAAGAAATTTATACCAGATAATGAGGTCTATGGTACCTATTTGGTGTATAAAAATCAAGGTCCTTTTTTTTTTTTTTACGTGTGGAAATCCCCTCGGACCGTCACCCCACCGGGGTTTGCGGCGGGGTGGTGTGTCGGACTCGGACCGACTAAAACCACACGGTGTGCCACTCTGCTCCTGTAATAGGAGGGATCCGGGAACAGCTGTTATTAAGACATCCGGACCCCACCTAGCGCCTGCCCGCAACGGCGCGGGCACCACCTCCGGTAAACTCTCTATTTAGGCGACGTCCGGCACACGCGGACGCCGGATTTTCTCCTAGCGACCGAGTGCAGGTACTTTCCGAAGCAACCGTGCCCGGAAAGCAGGGTTGCTGGTTGCTGACGCAGGTGCGTCAGCCGGAAGGTAAGGGTCCCGTGCTGCCGCCCTGCCCACTCGGCGATGACCGGCTGGAGAGCCTCCACGGCGTCGAAGCCAGCGCGTGGAGTCTCCAGCCGGAACGACCAACGAGCCATCGTGGCTCGGCGAGCGGCTTCGCGCCACTCGCGCACGTCTTCGGGCGGAGGGCGAAATCCGCTCTCCGCCCGGGAGGCAGCCACTCGCCGATAAACTTCGACGAGCACTGCCGTGGAACCGACGACTGCCACGGAGCCGTCCCAGTCACCCATCCAGTTTGGACGGGGATGGACAACATAGGGCTCCGCGACTACGGCAACACCTATCGACCACTGTGCCATGGTTTTCAGGAAGAGATCCTGCGGCGCGGCACAGTGGTTCAGGTTCGTCTGGGCCAGGAGTTTGGAGACTTGATCCATTACTGGGTCGTCTCCACAACCTCCTCCATGGGCGACGACGTCGACGCACGAACTACATCGGAGGCAGCCTGGGTCGACTGGCTAGCCCCCGATGCTTGCTGAGAATTGCGGGGAGGCTTGCAGCTTTGCTGAGAATTGCAGACGCCGGCCGGTGCCGGCCCTGACGTTGTCCGCGCTGCACGCCGTCTTCTCCCGGATTACAGCGCGGACATCTTCGGCCGTCACAGAGTCGTCCAGGCCCGAGATGCGCAGCTCCGCGCACTTGGTAGGCCTGGCGATCTTGACACCATCTGTGGTCGCGAATATACCCCGCAGCCTCTCAGCAAACGAGTCCACCGTCTTTGCGCCTTCAGCCCCAGGGAACTCGAGAACTCGAGCTCCCGTCTGGGCGAGGCGCATCCTGATCCCCACCGTCCCAAAATCATTGGCGAGGCTATCCCTGGCCTTTTTAAATACGGCCGCATAGGACAGCCCGCCGTCAGCCTCCGGGGACACGGTCACCATTACAGCCGCGGTTTTGGGCGGCTGCAGCTTCCGCGGCCTCTTTTTAGAGGCCGTTGCCACCGGTGGCGAAAGCTGGGCTTGGGCTGCTTTTTGGGCAGCCCTTCTGGCCCGCCTTCGGGACTTCTTGGAGCCCCTCGCCTCCTGCCAACCCTCGTTGGAGGGGGCAGGTGCGGAGGGGCCCGGCAGGGGTGTCGGAGTGGGGAGCGGAGGGAATGCCACTCCACTCCTCGGCGCCGTTTTAGGCCCTGTCTTGGCCGGCACTTTGGCCTGCGCCTGGGGGGGTGCCTTGGCCGGCGCCTGGGCCGGTGCCTTGGCCCCCCTCCTCGGCTTTTGGGGAGCCGATGGAGTCGGGGCAGACGCTGCCGCGCGGGGGGCGCACAACCGGCGCAGGGGGCAGTCTCACCTCCAGGACAGCCAGGCGTCCGTCCAGCAATTTCCCAACTGCGATGAGAATTTCACGCAGTTGGGCGTCAAATACCCCTGAGTTGGTGGTAGGGGCAGGCTGGGACGCGGACGGGGCTTCCCGCTCGGGGAGGTTCGCCTGGAAGCGGGCGAACTGAGCGCTCAGCTCGTTCACCCGCTCCGTCAGCCTCTCGTTGGCCAACTGTAGGCGAGAGACATCGCCCACTAAGCCCTCCACGACCTCTGACAAAGCGGAGGAGGAGTCCTTGAGGGCCCCCGCAAAAGAGCCCTTAAGGTTTACGGACTTGGTGGCCACCTTGTGGATGATGGTCACCGCCGCTTTCGCCCTCTCCTGCACGGACACGGGAGCCTGGGGGCATTTCCCCCCACCGGCTCCCGAACCTTGAGCAGGAGATCCGCGATCTCCTCCTCCGCTACGGCCTCGCCGTACACTTTTGTACGACTCCGCGTTTGAGAAGGCGGAGCCTGACGGGGTCGAGACCGAGGCGAGGCCGGTTTTCGTGGCCTCCCTCGACGGCTGCTTGCCACTTTTGGTGGCATCATCTCTTGGGACGTGTCGGTTTCCTCGTCCCTGGAGCGTCCGCGTTTCCGGCTGTCGCATCGCTCCGCTTCCATGGCCTCCGCGCCATCCGACGAAACGGCGGATCTGGAACGCAGACGTTCCGAAGTTCTTCGGCTCCAGGAGCTTAGACTGACTTCTGGGAGCCGCTCGGTGATAGACGTCACGAGCAACAATTGCTCCTCGTTTGACGAGGAGTTATCCGCCCTTCCACTCTTCTCCTTCCTTCCCTTCGTTTCCTTGTCCGTTTGACTTGCCTTTTTTTGTTGTTGTTGGTTTTCCGATCGTTTCTTTATATTTTTAACATTGTCCATAATAAATCCCACGGGTGGGGGAGAACTAAAGGTCCACCCGGGCAGAGATCCCCCATTACCCGGCAAGCGTAAGTTTTTAACCCAACCGAGGGGTCCGCAGGTACCTCGGCTTGGAGTGCGCTCGAGACTGAACTTCCCATCAGTCATGCATCCCCTGGCCACGCACCAGAACACGGGATTCGGGGATTTTTTTACGAGAGGTTGTCTTCCTCGCGGTCCGGGCGGTTAAGCCAAGACCCTCGCCCCCGATCAGAGCCGCGAGACTTGACCACAGCGCTCTTCTCGGGATTACGATATGCCGACGGTTGACAGGGAGACTACGTCCCCCTGCCTGCTCGGTGGTAGTGTCAGTACACGCCGAGCCCGTCCTCCTTTCTCCACCGCTGTCAGCGGAGAAACTGTGGCCCCTACAGGGCCCCGCCATCCGGTTTTTTACCGAGGTTTCCTCCTCCATGCTCCGAAGAGCAAAGAGCCAGCAGGGCAACCGGCAGACACGCCCACCCTGCTGGACCAGGCCTTGCCCGAGAGCTGATGAACGGCTTCCTCTTCTGCTAGAATATTAGCCGCTGGCGATAATCCTCTCTTGGCAAAAAGAAACGCCTTACAGCACAAAAAAGGAATAATTCCAAAAAATAAAAACGTAAAATCTACGTAAAATCTGTAGGTACGGAACCCTCGGCGCACAAGTTCGACTCGTACCTGACCGGTTTTTTTTTTTCAGAAACTAACACGGGCACACACTAAATCAAAATAATTTTTTGTCCACTAGTGAAAGCAGCCATGTCCAAGGAAACAGAAATGACGGGATGCGGGTACGTAAACAAAGTTTTAATAGTTAATTTATTTTGACGAATATTTGCTGGAAAAAAACATACAATTTAATAATTTATCGAAGTCAATGAGTAAAGTTAGGCGTTATTATACATTAAAATTGGAATCAGCCGAAATTTGTTTTAGAGATTCAAAGGGTATGAGCACAAGTTTATTTTACATCAACTCGCTCTCGACAGCGAGCACGTTCAGCGTTGCGATTGGTAGAATTCAGTGCGGGCCATCAAGTAGAAGTGAAATAAACTTGCACTTGGCCCTCTGGTCATTAATGGTATCTGGGTTATCTAAAAGCCTTGCTCAGCGTAAACCGGCGGAGTGGCGTCGTTTTCTCACATACAAGGGTGCGTTTTTAAGTTCGCAGAATGAGAGGGTTGGAGGGGGGTGATTAGGCTCATTAGAATCGTCATGTGTTCAGTGACTCATAATTAGTATAAATACCAGGTTTCATTGTTATTAGACAATTAGTCTTTGAGCTATCGTCAACCAAGCAACATAATCGGGAGTGAAAAGTGAAACATGGAAAAAATCGAATATCGTGCCGTTATAAAGTTCCTTACCAAGCAAGGAAAATCAGTTGCGACCATAATGAATGAGATGTCATTGGTTTACGGCGACTCTTGTCCAGGAAAAACCAAGGTGTACAAATGGCACAGTTTATTTAAACAAGGAAGGGAATCCCTTGAAGACGACCCGAGGCCGGGCAGGAGCATCGAGGTGATCACGCCAGAACTTATCCAAAAAGTCGAAAAAATTGTACTCGACGATGCTCGACTACAGAAGAAACTACTCGCAGAAATGGTTGGAGTATCTGATACAACCATTTTTAGAATTTGGCATGACAAAGGTCAGTGCAAGATGGGTGCCGAGAATGCTCACGACGACGCAAAAACAACAGCGCGTAGAGTGTTCACGTGCATTTTTAGACCTTTGTAATGAAGACAAGGATGCTGTATTGAGTAGAATTGTTACTGGCGACGAAACTTGGGTTCATCATTATGAACCTGAGTCGAAACAAGACTTTATGCAGTGGCATAAAAAGGCAAGGTCTTTTGGGACTCAGAAGGAATATTATTGATCGATTATAAAGATAAAGGTGTTTCTATAACCGGAGAATACTACGCTTCAATATTAGAGCGACTCAAAGAAGCCATTAAAGAGAAAAGACGGGGAAAATTGACAAAAGGTGTGTTGCTTTTGCACGACAACGCGCCCGTCCACAAGAGCCGCGTTGCGTTGGCTGCCCTGCATAAGGTAGGCTTCGATATTTTGAATCACCCACCCTACAACCCAGACCTGGCCCCCAGCGATTATTACCTGTTTCCAAAAATGAAAAAAGAGCTGCGGGGTAAAAAATTTACCAACGATGATGAAGTCAAGGTGGCAGTTTCGGCGTATTTTGAAGACAAAGAGAAAACATTTTTTTATGAGGGTATAAGCAAATTAATTGAAAGATCTCAAAATTTTATCCGTCTTGCACGTGAATATATTGAAAAGGAAAAATAATTTGGTTTTTTTATTTCCACCCCTTATCCCCCATTCCGCGAACATAAAAACGCTCCCTCGTACATGTCTCTGTTTCCAGAGGCCCTAGTGCAAGTTTATTTCACATCTATTCGATCGTCACTTGCGATTGGTGTAGAGTTCAAACTCGCAATCAAAGAGAATATCAATAAGAACATTTCATTTATAGGCACTCATCACTACGGGTTTGTCAGCGCCTTAGTTACATAATGTAAAATCGAAGAAGCGTGTAACTCAATAGTTTAGCGAAAAATGTATAGTAGACTTATTTAAATAAATAAAATTTGATTAGATAACCTCGCCTTGTGCACCAAATGATATGGGAGAAGCTCACAAATTATACGGTCAGTCATTATTACTTTTACTCGTATGTCGTTGACGCACGTTGGATTAGACCCACCTTAATCTTAGAGAGCTGTAAACATCCCCAGTAGCTAACTTGTGTGAGTGTACCCTTACAGCACAACGTAAAGCACTAACACTATCGCCAAATAGTATTCACCGGTTGAAAATAGAATATAGAGAACAGAAAGAGAGAATATGATAAATATCAGCCGCATTGTATTTGCATCTGTTTAGCATTATAATTAGATATGAAACGGCCTGATAAAATTATCCGGTCGGATGTCAGATAGGAGATAAACTGATATTGGAAGACTCGTCGCAGGTCATATTTATTATTTCAAATGAAATCATCGAAAATTTGATTAGTTTTTTCAGCCCTAGCAATCCCCACGTAATCCTACCTTAAGAGTTAATATAACTTTTTATTTTTGCTTTAAAAACCTTAACGGTGGTGTTCTTTGTTAGTAAGTAGTTGGTAGCGCTTGACATTCTTATTGCTAATACATATTCGACTTCCAGGTTGTGCTAATACTGGTTGGATTTCGAACAGCTATTCGTTTCCTGTCTAATGTTTATGGCTTTTTACAGAATTTACGTTAAGCTATATTAGTACTCCACTGACATTGACATTGTCCCATCGCAGCTTAATTTTATGTAATTAAAAACTGATATTTCCGTTATTTTACAGAATTACTATCATTAATCGGCAAAGTACCGTCCTTGAATTGTTTTTAAACTTTGTACAGACCCACGAAACCACTGTCGTGAGTCCTAAATTTACTATTAACGGCGTAATAACTTTTGAATTCAAAGTGGAAAGAAGAGATACAGATCGCTTTTCATTATTTGTTCGTTATAAAAAGAAGAGAGTAAATGATAAGTTAGACTATGGTATAAAATACACACATTGGACAGAACGAGAGATGAAATTTAACAATCCAGATATATGGCACTTTGTATGTTCTAACGGCTCTTGCACTGGCACTGGAACTATTTCAGTAGAAGTAAACTTAGAAACTTTGTCAAGCCCTTGTGCATCTCTTTACGAAGATACCGAATTGACTGATTTTAAGTTGCTCGGGGACGACGGCTATGTACTGCTGCACAAGGCCATCGCGGCAGCTTACAGTCCCTTCTTTAAAAATATGTTTTTGGGACAATGGAAGGAAACAACCGAAGGAGTCATTGAGGTCTCGGGCATTTCAAAAGCAACGTTAGAACACTTCAAAGAGTATATGTACTTAGGAACTTTTCCCGATACCTGTTTAACACAATTATTACTATTGGCAAAGTTTTATATGATGGAAGATTTAGAAAGCCGATGTTTATTTAAACTACGATCCCAAGTGACGAAAGATAATGTCTTTGATTTGTTAGAGTTCGCTGTAACAAACAAACAAACGCGGCTCCTCTACGAAATTTTAGATGTCGCGCAGCAAGGTGATCTTAAAGTGGATGAATTAGAAGAATTCCAGAAATACCTCTAATAATGCTATTCCATAACTTGTCGAGTCTGCATGATACATATACGTTCTATTATTATATTTTACATTGCCATATAATGTTACAGAAAGTTGTGGTCTAATTTAAAAAAAAAAGGAACATTCATGAATTATGATAAATTTCATGCCACTTTTAATAATTTCGTTTTTTTTTTTTTTTTAAAAGAAACGCTTATTTGCACAGAACACAGTAGATTTAACAGTGGTGTATTGTTCGAGATATACTGCCTGTATTAGGCACGCAAATAGTTACATCCAAATACTAATTATCATTAAAAATGTCAAGAAATATTATTATTTTGCTTATAAATTACTTATTATATCACAATATTTTAAATTTTACAAATACACAGATATAATACATTACAGCCATAAAATAATACATTACAGCCATAAAATTTCTGTATGAATTTTCCTAATTTGATATGGCCTTAAACTACGATCATTTTTTCTACAACGCCCTGTTGAGGCGCATTTGTTTCAGGATTATCTTTAAATGTAGTAGTTTCACCTACTTGTAGCATCTGCATATATGATTAAATAAAACACGTTCTTTGTTCTTTTTTTATGTTTTATATTATATTAAATAAATAAATTAGATACTCACCATTGGGTAAAGAACACCAGATATTACTTTAAAAAAATGAGAAAAGCATTTAAGATATTTAGTGAATCAATAGAATAAGTTAAAACTCCTTGATCGATACCATTAATTATTAAGTATTATTTCTTATTACACTAATAATTTGTAAATCAAATCAGATTTGATTTGATTTGAATAATTTGTAAGTTATGTCGATTGTGTCAACTATATTATTCGTTTTTACTTCTTGCAATTGTGATCAAATGTATGTATGTGTAAATGTTTTCTCGTTGCTTTTGTAATTAATATATATATATGTATATAATCATGATGTTAATTTAATATACATGATTATACCAGAAATAGGTGTAATTTATTAACATGCTAACGCGAATTAGGTGATACATAATTTCATCTAATTCACGGAGTGTTTGATTTATAAAAATGTTAAAATACAATACAATATAAATACATAAATAAATTAGTTTGTTTTTTTTTCTCCTACCTCGCAACTTATGACAATTATATTGTTCCGAGCCTAAAGCGACGACGACTACCTTGCTAAGAACGTCTTCGTCGTTTCGTTCCTTTCGAAATCGTTTTATTCCTTTATTTTCACACATAGGCTAACAAACCACTTGACATAGTGACCTGTTCTTTTTGGCTTATATCAAAAATTTACAGGATTTAGAAGATAGAAAATCTTCTAAATCCTGTAAATTTTTTAATTCTGTTTAATTTCATTTCGAAAAAATATTTAATAGCCATTCATAAATCGGCGATTGAAGTTCGGTGAGATCAAAATACTAATAAGAATTTCTACTAAACCTATATAATTTATCATTTATGTTATATTCATGTTCATAAATACTTGATTTTTTGTATTTATTTTCACCGAAAATTGAATAAAATTAAAAACACTAATACTTAATTCACTCCAATTAACATTGAAAGGTAGTTTGCAACGAAGCTACATCACTAAATCAAATGTAAAAACTTTTTTTGCGGGGTCACCTGATGGTAAATGACAACCACCACCCATGAACACCTGCAACCCAGTCACAAGCGCGTGGCCGCCCTTTCAACGTGGTATCACTCCGGTCGAGCTTACGCATTTGTGCCGAAATAAAACTCCAACGGCCAAAAAACTTCAACGGAGCTAACACTCCTTTAATCGGCATTTCCTGACATCGGATGACGTCACGCCGACGGTGACGGATTAAAAATACGGAGTGTCACCATCCCTATTTATCCCGTGGATGTCGTAAGAGCCGACTAAGGGAGCAAACTACTCAGCACAACAGCATTGCAAAGAGAAGGAAAACTTGACACAAAGCCTATACCTACCCGTCTGCCCGGTGTATACCACACTACACATCGAAACCTTACTAAAGAGAGGCCTATGTCCAGCAGTGGACTATTAAAGGTTGTTGATGTGTGATATGGATGATGTCATGACCGTGACTAATGCTGTAACTAAGTAATTTTAAAATACACTACACGGCTCGGCTCGACCGGAGTGCCTCAAAGAAAAGTTGTTTATCACGAACTCTTTGGGTAAAAAATAAATAAAAAGAATTCTTATGGCATTTATTTTTCAAGTATGTTGTCTTTTACATTAATAAAATATAAATATGATGCAGAGGCAAGCGGTAAGGGGTCGTCTAAGTATTACGTAAGCAGGGCAGCGGCGAGCGGCGTTTTCCTTGCTGTACTTACTTTGTGCCTTCTTAAACTTTTATGTCAGTTACATCACCAATATATATTATTTTACTAATAAAAAGTTTAGTAGATTCACACACATGTGACAATCAAACTGAAGCGTAAGGTAATAAAAACTCGTTCAAAATACAGTGCCGATCCAGTCGCGATATCGCAATGTCTTAAAAAGTATTTTGGTAGTAAAATATTAAACATCCAACGATGACTGTAATGTGTTTATATCGTATTGTGACCGAAAGTTAAATCGGTATTTTGCTAGTCTTAGTAATACTTTACTAAGAAAATATCTTTCATGACATTTATAAGATCGAGGGTAGATCGAAACTGAATTTTGAACGAATTTCTATTACGAGAACTGACCGTCATACAGAGCAATAAAAGTAATAATCTTAGGGCCTATGTACACGGTGTGTTATTACGCGGTGACGACGCGCAGATGGCGCTCAATAACGTGCTGTATATAATTCATATGCAAATAGTAAACCTTTGTACACGTTCCAAAACTTTGTAGCGGCGTACACGCGCATTTGTATCGATACAAACGCTCTTGATACGGCGATACAGACACGCTGCAGTCGCGCGTATATATTATAATACAGAAATCTGCGTTTTTACCAGACTTATTAAAAGACAGACTACAGCAGTTAAATGAATAGGGTTCACAACATTGCGTACGCTGGCTTTATTACTGATTGAAAAAAAGAAGGAAAAATTAGATTCGTTCAGATTCATTCAGATTAGATTTTAGAGCGAAAAAGGATTGAGTGGTCATTTTTAAGATATTAATCAAACATAAAAGATGGGAAAATCGCGTTTGAGCCGATACAAATCGACAATCTGCTTTTTAGTGATCTGCAGCGCTGTAAACGTGCGTTTGTAAAACGTGTGTCGTCGGGGCGTTAAAAGTACGTCCTGGACAAAGGCCGTTATGGAACGTTTTATATGTCTTTTGAATATTTGCTTATATAAATAAATATAGCCTTGGATATTTGAACATCAATTACAATAAAGAAACTAGCACATTTTCGAAAACCAGACCGATGCTTACGGAGACATAGGATCGACGGGGGGTTAATTTAAGGATGACATCGAATCCTGCTTTCGTAATACTCGAACGGCGGCTAAGAAGTGAAGCGCGGTGTGGTCAGACGCACGTGGCGCGGAGCTGGAGCGCGGCGCGCGGCTGGTCGAGCGACGCGCGGCACAGCTGCGCGTGCTGCCACGCCACCGCGCCGCGCCCCCCGCCCAGCCGCGCGCGCACCACTGCGCACGCGCACGCGCTCAGCGACACCCGCCCGTTCTCTGCGCACAATCATTGAATCGTCACAAAGCCGACTGGGAAGATACTCGCAGAGTCACTTGCGCACGCCACACCGCATTACACGTTACATTTTTTTTTTTCAAAGACAATTTTTGGATCATACAAGTGTTGTCCCATGTGGGATCGAACCCACAACCCTCAGCGCAGTAGGAAGTGGCGAGATGACCGCTTAAACCACTACGCCATCCGTGCAGTATATACCATCGTATAGCGTAGCGACGCATGCCGTGGCGACACGTCGCCATGCGACCCGAAACGGACCTTCGTGAGTTTGCACCATCGGAAACCCTGATGATGCTGACTCACTGTAGAGGTGTAATGAGGTCAATCAGACTAACTTACCGTCGAATGTCAAGGGCTCCGGTTCATTACTATCGTATTGTATAGTCCACTGTATACTGCCGTTCTCGTAGATCGCGGTACTGATGCGCATAGTTATGTCTGTTAAATGAAGACCACCTTTCGCCATGAACCGCCAAGCCACCGACCCCGAGCTTTGGCCCTCTGCAAAATTATGTACGTGTTAGTTAGTATGATTGTTACTTGATAAAATTCGGTATGGGAGCTTACACCATGCTATACCATGTTAAATATATCATGTTTTAGTATTTCTCATAAACCGCGGAACGCAGCTAGTGGTTTAATAAATACCTTCTCTGGCCAGATAGGCTTGTTTCCAGTCATACTCGACCTTTCTGAAGATATTTTCAGCTTGGTAAACACCAGCAGCCCAACCGTTTATGGAGATGTCTTCCAGTCCTTCTTCTGAGACCGAATACTTGTCGGCACCAGAATTGTAGCCCACTGCGCAGTTCCCGGGCCTTGTGAAAACGAACGTGTGTCCTTTGCCGACCTCACCGCGCTCACTGCGCCATTGTATCGAACCAGATATGCGGCCATGGGATTCATAATCTGTAGGCTTCCTGCAATAGATAAAAAAATATACTAATTTTTTTACCACAAGGTGGTCCAACGACTTGGTGAAGGTTCTGGGAAGCCGTTGGATGCGGGTAGCACATGATCGGTTTTTGTGATCTTACACTGACATGTTTTTTTTAATACTATAATAATAACTTGACACACCGTCTGATCCCAAACTACGCTGGACTTATACTATGATGGTAACCAGACCGCTGATAAACACACATATATTATTTCTAAATGCAGACTCATAGATAAACTACACCCAGACACAGAACTATTGATCGTGCTCATTACACAAGAACGAGAAATAATAATGTGCAAATATAAAATTATTCAAAACCCATGATGGTCAATGAATGTAACAAGAGAATGAATGAATGAATGAACGAATGTAACAAGAGAATGAATGAATGAACGAATGTAACAAGAGAGTGAAAGAAAGAATATAGCAAGTGAATGAATGAAGGAATTTAACAATTGAATGTAAGAAGTATATAGCTTACTTTTCTTGCATGAGTAAAACGAGTTCATGGAGTGTCCGCTTGGCGAGGTACTTGCGCCGCGCCTCAGACAGGTGGCGCTGGCGATGCTCACGCAGCGATGACAACGAGTCCAGTAGTTCTTGCTCCGAACAACTGTTGCGACGCAACAATGTCTGAAAGATATTAACTTTTAATCATGCGATATATTTGTTATTAGCTGACCCGCGCAATTCGTCTGCGCCTCTTAAAAGGAACAAACTTACCCACTTTTTGCAACATACCAACATTACCCCCCAATATTTTCGTCTGTAGTATCGATACGACATTCAAACCTTCAAGAAAAGAGAGTACTCCTACCTCAAAGGCCGGCATCACGTTTGTGACTCCTGAGTTGCAGATGTTGTGTCTGCTCGTGTGTCGGTGGTAGCGTGATGTGATATAGCCTTCGACGAAAAAAATTCAAAAAAATAACTCGGCACAAGGAGCGGTTTTTTACACTGCAGGCATGTTAAACCTTATTCTTTAGTAGGCATAGAAAAAAACGCAATCACCCGTGACTAATCATATGATTTTAAAATCATTTCGTCACACCTGTCGCTATCTACAACATCAGTGCGACTTATTATTATTATTACGCTAGCGAAAGACTCGCGAAATATCTAATCTAAAATATATATATATATATAGTACGAGTATTTATCTTTGTCCATGAGACCATGACATGTAAGACATATGAAATCACAGCGACCAAAACCAATCATTTCAACAAATGTTTATGATTACAAGTAGCCATAATTACCATGTCTATTCCTTAGACAGGCAGACTTGACCTCTGGTTCACAGATAACATAAAATACTTCAAATGTTGATATTAAAAAAAATACATAAGTAAATCTACTGTAACCGCGTAAGTCTATGGTAGTATGGTTTGATGGGTATATCACCACCGACTTACTTGCTTGTGGTTGAGGGTGTATCTCCATGTTACATCTTGTATGTCATCCCGGGAGACTGCGATTACGTATGAAAGCTTTTTATCCCAACCGTGTTCGTACATCAACGGCGTATTTAACTTCGCCTCGCATGGGTCCGCGTGCAGCCAAGTCTTGGAGTCATTGTCGAAAACCTATAAAAGAAGTGTTGAAACACGAAGAAAATGTAACACTGTTAATTGCATTGCGGCTCTATTTATTTTTGGTTCACAGTGCTGCCACCAGGGGGCGCCGCTTTGTTCGTGTTTAGTTTTTTTATTACCTTAAGTGTATCTACTTGCCTTTAAAAACTGTGCATTACTAGTAAAACAACATTCATTATCAAGAACACATTACTTATTTGAAGTTAATTAAATGAAATTATATAATTAAAACAAAACTATTGTTTAATCTGCTACTATAAACGAAACTAAACTAAGTATAAACGAAAAGTTTTTTTGCTTTTTGCTCGCACAACCAATCTGTAGAACAACTTTTTTCGACTGCACGGATGGCGTAGTGGTTTAAGCGGTCGCCACGCCGCTTCCTACCACGCCGAGTGTTGTGGGTTCAAACCCCACATGGGACGACACTTTGTGTGATCCACAAATTGTTGTTCTGAGTCTGGGTGTTCTTTGTGTCCGTTTCATGTATGTTTGTAAAGTCCCCCGCGACACAGGATATATTCCTAATGCGGGAGTTGTCTTTTTTAAAAGAAAGAAAAAAGTTACGTCTGCGGTATTTTCGGACCGATACGACATTCCAGAAAAGAGCGTACTGCTTCCTAAAAGGCAATGCGCTTGTAACTCCTGAGTTGCAGGCATTCATGGGCGGCGGTTGTCACTTTCCATCAGATGACCCGTCTGCTCGTTTGTCCCTTTTTCCATAAAAAAAATTAGATGATGATAAATACAGTATGTACCTCACACCACACGTGGTCGGTAGTGTCGTACACGTAGCGCGTGTCGTACCCGAGCGCACGACACAGAAGCGCGAAGCAGTTGGCCCACTCGCCGCACCGGCCGCGCCGCGTGCGGAGCAGCGTTCGCGAGCGGTTGTACCGCGGGAAGCGCGACCCGCCGCGAGGCCCGCACGGGCCACACGAGTACATCTGCACCATGCAACATATCGCCTTCAAAATATTGTTATATTTATGAAAGCTTCAAAAGACAGATGTATATTTTGCAGTTCCAATAATACCTGTTAAATACATTGGCGTAGAATTGATAAAATCCTTCTTTTAAGGGGATTAAAAACATGAAATGATTATAAGTGGGCATATTGAACCGTAACTTCTCTAAATAAACAGTTAGTTCTGGTAAACCAACGAGCTAAATCAACACAAAATGAAAAATCTTTCGACCAGGCCAGGCGGTATAACACGTCAGGAAGCGGCCCAAATAATGTTAAGATAATAATATCTATACTAATAAACTCGAGAAATTTCATTACGAGACTCAGATACTAGTTAGGCAGCTATTCCTCAAACGGCGCTTAATATATTTATTACAATTTAGTTCTAGTATAGACTATTACAGAAGGTAAATCTTTCGACCAGGTTAGGGCGTATTACACGTCAAAAGCGGTTTAAATAATATAAAAATAATAATATACGTACTAATAACCTTAAGTAATTTCATTGCGAGATGCAGAACCTAATTGGGCATCTGTTCCTAAGTTAGCACTTTATGTATTTTTTACAATTTAGTTCTAGTATAGGCCATTACAGGAGGTAGAAACTTTCGACCAGGCCAGGCGGTATTACACGTCAAGAAGCAGCGGTTGATATAATGTTATAATAAAAATATGAATACTAATAAGAGTAATAAACTTGGGAATTTTCATTGCAATATGCAGAAACAAGTGCGGCATCTATTCCTTAGATGGCGCTTTATGTATTTATTACAGTTAAGTTCTGGTATAAGCCAACACAAGAGGCACAATCTTTCGACTAGGACAGGCGGCATTACATGTCAAGAAGCGGCCCAAAAAACGTTAAAATAGTAATATGGATACAAATAAACTTCAGAATTTTCATTGCGAGATGCAGGAATTAGGTGGGCATTTTATAGATGGCATATGTATTTATATGAAATGCCACATAATATGATTCTTTTTTCCTTTTTTTTATGATACATTTCGCTATATTACCTCCATCCTACACGTCTCTTGCTCGGAAGTGGCGGTGACTGTATTTCTCAAGACGGTGGGTCCACCGCAAATATCGCACGGAGGCTGATCAACCCACGAGAAGAACTTGTATTTAAACCAGCTCAATAATTCCATTAATAAAGCCACATCGAACGGTAGGTCCAGTTCTTTCGTCTCACCTGTCATTGTAAAAATATTATACGTGTGTATATAATATGCCTAGCGTGGCAAGTTCCTTCACCGCCACCAGACGAGTGTCTTCTAGCATATATTAAGTCTGCTGTTCATAGTGACTCCACTGTGTCCGGTGTCTATAAGTGTTTAAAGCACCGGCCCCTTTTACGAAGTGAAACTGGCTTCACGTCTGATACCTAACCGAATGGTCCTTCGAAACTCAGTTACTAAGTTTTAGCATTTTTTATCGAAATCAAGCTCATCTAACCAGAATAATAAGAACGCACGCTACTATACTATTTCTGAGGGCTTAATGTGAGTTTAAATCACATCAACTCGATCGTCACCCAACTAAAATTTTCACCAATCGCAACGCGCTCGTTGTCGAGCGAGAGTCGATGTAAAATAAATTCACACTAGGCCTTCTGTAGACTACTATTCGAAAATTAACGCTACTGATAATGATAATCATTTTTTTAAAGTATCAACTTCAGTAGTAATGTCTTCAATGCGTCTGCATCGTGATGATTGTAATAATTCAAAAAAGAATTTTTCAAATCCTTCCATAACTGACAGAGTTCTGAAGTAATAAACTTAAAAAGAAAACGGCCAAATTGAAAATCATTTGCTTTTTTTTGAAGTTGATATTAACTACTAATATTCACATAAAATGTAGATCTTAAGTGAGAGTTATTACTAAACAATTTCATTATGAACTTCTTACCAGATTTGATTCTCTTCTGCTGCTCTCTAACCCTATCAAGAGCCATAAGCTGCAGCGTCACTATTGGGATCTGCTCTCGGGCCAGTACCTGCAGGTCTTCATCTTCATACTCCAGAACACGATTAAACAAATTTTGGATTGATTGCAGAAATGGATTTTTTGTAGTCTGTAAAAAAAAAGTTTTCATCAGTGTTCTTTATGTTAACAACAACACAAAAACAAATATATTAGTCTTATGCAATATCAACAGAACCAAATAAGTAGCGAGAGGGATTTCATGTGAAAAGGAGTAAGTTACAAAAAAACGTTTGTCGCTATCCCTCTCGCTCTGCATTCACTGCCTGCGAGCGAGAGAAACAAAAGGTAATCCATATATTTGCATTGCGCAATTTATTTAATAACTCGAGAACAAAGTATCGCAGATCGAGACATGATGCGTATGTTTTTAGAGGATTTGATGAGGAATAAAATAATACCAGTCTTGTTTCTCTACAATCAATAGTTTTCGAGTTATTCAATTTTTAATTTAAAAAAAAAAATCTTTAATCAACTAGCTGTGGTTAATTAGATCAACACGCTTCAACGACAAATCAACTTTTTTTGTTTAATTTTTAGAAATTTATATGCAAATCCTTCCATTTTTTTTAATACCTTGACCAAAATTAATAAATAAAGGATTAGTCAAATAGCATAAGGAACTTCATTCCATCAGATTTCCCATGACAGCTTTTTTTTTTATGGGCCCAGTTTTTGTTACAAAATTTTTCATCCAATTTTATAATGATTAGGACAGCCAGAATACCAGAATGTTTGTAGGCTGCAGCACTACTTTCTTGCCTTGTCTTGCACTAGGTTTAAGAATTAGTCTTGAAGGTTGGACTCCATAGCAGAAGTTGATTTTCCTTTCTATAGCAGCCTGAGCCATTCTCAATTTACTTAGCGGCAGTTCCTTGTCATATACAAGGTTACAGCCTTCCTATAACAAAAGTATATTATTATATTAACAAAATATTAACGATTGGACACCTAAATCACATTTTGACTGCCTCCGTTGCACAGTGGTAGTGTATGCGAATGCTGTTCTCTCTCTCGGGTTCGATTCCCAGGTTGGATCAAATATTTGTATGCTCTGCAAATATTTGTTTCGGAGTTTGGGTGTTTTCTATATATAATATATATGTATTTACAAAACAAAAAGTATACAAGCATTCTATTGGTCAATCTAGCTTTCGGAGTACGCTTATGCTCCTTTTTACTAACTTACTAAAATCCTTACTAAAATCTTTAGGAGTACAAGCATACTCCGAAAGCTAGATTGACCAATAGAATACTTATTTATAGGCTTAGTTTAAAACTATATGGTGTGTGTGTTAGATGTCTGAAAAATATTATTTACATATGGATAGTATAATAAATTTTGTATGTATTTAATGTCATTTATTTATAACTAACTTTTGCGCATAGCTCTGCCTGCATTTATGTCGGTTATCGTATTGTTAAAGTATTTTCATACCGAATTTGATTAAAATTATACCAGCAATGGGTATAAAGGGTAACAGAGAGAATTATTTTGCATTTATAATATTAATAGGGATTATATATAATGGCAAACTAATAAGATTAAAACAATATTTACCTTAACATGTTAAGGTATTGAAGTCACACTTCAAAATATACTATTCAAGTATAGTCATTATATTTTTTTTTTTAATTTTTAAATGTCACAATGTGATCATATTTTACTAATATGAATAGTTTTTAAAAAATATCTTGGAGTTACTTTAGAATAGTTAGGTACTTTAGAAGACGGAGTGGCAACTTTTTTAAAACAAAGAAGAAGACTATAAATGAAATGAGTATGTGTGTCCAAAAATTCATGGCATTTTTGCTAAGTGCCTACTTAGCAAAGGACTTACTTTGGATAAAAAGGTTCATAGCCAGAAAACATAGATTAAAGAATATTATGCAAGGAAAAAATATTTGCGAAAGTGTAGGCTATTTTACACTTTTGGTAGACCATTTAACAGTTATCAATATAATAGCACAAAAGTCTGCTTTAGTAAATGTACGGTCCATACCCCAGGGTTTAAAGTTATAGGATAAATCAGTAAACTCAGGGATAAATTTAACTGACTACATTGATAGATAAAAATGATATTAATCATAATGATATATGTGAGCCGCGACACGTCAACTGATAGTCGAATATAAACGCGAACTGAACTGAAGAATGATTTAATAAAGTGCTGACACTGCTCAAAGTATAAGAGCATGATACGAGAAATGTATAACGTGGCTCGTACAGTAAACATAAAGGCCAAAACAATATTAAAACATGAAGGTACCATCAAACATTTGTGTGGAGCACCGTAGTGATTTTTACACTTACAGGTCTATAGCCAACGTATTTAAGGTAATCACTAAACGCTTCGTGTTGAAGAACATCTTCCAGGATGTCAGTCTTTAACGTTCGCATGTCGTAGTCGTGAGGATTATTTAAAATGTGGGTCATATGCCGCAATAGTTGATATAGTATTTTATTAAATTTATCCACATCTCCAATACTTTGCTCCACCACGGCCAATCTTGCCATGTCTTCCATTTTTAATAAAATAACTTTTTTCTGCTTATAATACTGATATATTATTTATTCAATGAGTTCAAATTCATTGTGATTTGATACGCTACTCCTGATAACACTTGTCAAATTTTGATTTGTCATTTTCGTTCAGGAACTGACTTAGGTATAGTATGATTAAATGTTAGGTGATCCCGAACTTTTAAATTGCAAACCTTTCACTTCCAAAATATACGTTTCTATGGCCAATGATTAGTTTTCCTTGGTGCATTCACCGAAATGTATAAAAAAATAATACATATTAAAATATAATTATATACAAAACCGATGTTCTGCAAATTACAATTTGCAAAATATCAGTTTTGTTTGTTGATCAGCTATTGATAATTTAACTTTTTCCAAGACAATCTTCACATAATATGATAATTAATGCATGTAGTACTTAAATTTCACTATCTTTATTTCACAAGAACCTAAGCTCTCGACGGTAACCATGGTTGAGATAATACAAACAAATGATATAAAATGAAAAAATTCTCGGTTTCATCTGAAAGTCCATGTCATGATGGTAATATTTAACTTAATAAATATCGTGAATTTGTCTATACAGTTGTATACAACACTTGTTATAACAGTTTTTAATAAAACTAATCTATTCTTTTGGCAGGCTTCGGTTCTGGATCTTTGAACTGGTTGTTACACGCGCGTTATGTCAGGGGCGAACATGCATTGTGCTTGGAATTAGCTGATCAGTTGCAGAAACAACATGAAAATAAACATAGATTTGCTCACTACATAAAGGTATGAACATCTTTACGGCATTAACTACATATGACTTAGAACGCTTATTTAATCACTGATATAATTTAATTAAACTCCACGACTTTTCTGGTTACCAAGCCGAGACACATTGGTTAACTTTATGTATTTTCACTTCCAATTATGTTTTGCTCTGGGTAAACTCTATTTTTAACAACGTGCTGCCGTGTCCGTGTAGGTCCGTTCGGTCCGTCCTAAATTACAAATAAGGTGTCAAAATTAATACAGGTATAATTGCCAATAAATACTAATATTAGAAAGCTGAGAAGTTTCTTTGGGTGTTTGGTTGCCCGCGCTAATTGCAGGAACTCGTAGTTCGAATTGAAAAATTGAAAATGAAAAGAGTTAGATAGCCCATTTAGAAGTTTAGAAGGAAAACCTGAAACAAACCTATACCAACCCGTCTGGCCAGCGTGGTATAGTAGGCCAAAACCTCCTTTCTGAGTATAGGAATATGTCCAGCAGTAGACTGTTAAAGGCTGTTGATGATGAATAAAAAATATAGCAAAAACTGGGGCAATTTATTCCCATTGAGTGACAAATTTGCACGGTTCAGCTAGTAAAGAATAAAACGCACATTGCTATCTAGACCTAAACTAAGCAGAGTTTGTAATATGTATCTTAGAACACAGATGGACAAAATGAATTCGCATATCAATTAGACTGTTAAACCACTAAGAGGTTATTGTCACAGCAATCACTCTAGTGACAGCTATAAACGCTATGGACAAAACCTTTGCGCAATGGGTTTCTGTGGTGCCTAAAAGATGTCCGAGTCCTATTATTGTGTGCCTGTGTACTAAATAAACTAATTTTATAAAAATATTTTTTTCATTCATTTGCAGGTTAAATTTTTTACTCACAAATATTTTTTATTTAAGGGGTCAGTGCTGGCTGATGCGGGTAGACTACAGGAAGCCTTGGAGAAATACCACAACTGCATCAGGCTGCAACCACAAGATCCCGAACCATTAAAACAAGTTGCGAAATGCTTGTACGCACTGTACCTGCCTACTTATTTGCAAAATTCCAACTAAGGGTGAAATAGTTTATCAGGATGCTATATTAACAGAGAATAAGTGTATTACAAGTTTTTAATGAGAAAAATTAATTTAAGTAGTAACTAAACTAAGTGTCGATACCAGTACACATTTTGATTGCTGGATTTGCTGCTACAATATACACTTAAGTGTAAATATCCGTCGTAATAGTCCGTGTTTAAATTCCTAAGTTCCCTAACGTTACTTTGTTTTATCCACAGTGTACCACTCCAAAAGAAATAGTAATGTTATGAACTTTTACAATTGCCCGATAAAACTGCAATCAATAATTAGATTTTTTTCATTTACAAGATAAAAACCTTTTATTTTATCTATGACTAGTTTTTGTTATTTTTCTTGATTTTTGTTGCCTATACCTTACTTTTTGTTACTCAAAAAGTACCTCAGTGTACGAGTATTTCTTCTGTATTTAAACTACATAGATATATATAATTGTTGTTAAATATTCTTTATCATAAGGATATATACATAGTATTATATGTATATATCCTTATGACCTAATATGTATAATTTAATGTGTTCAGTTGTGTAGTGAAAGCGTGACGGCGTAAATAATAAATTTGTATTTAATTCCATCTTTTCATCTATTTAGCTTTTATTTCATTTACGCAATTTTATGGATGAATGTATGTGGTAGTAAATAATTTTTTACAGGTCTCGTCAAGGACGCTTCCAGCTGTCCCATGAAGCTTATTTAGAGGCTAACAAATTGTCTAACCATCCAGACCCCGATATATATTCCGCTTTAGGTAAGGGTAAAACTATAGATACTATATCACTAGGTTCTTGTTTTCTGCGATCGCCCCTGTGTTTCATGGTTGTGGCGGGAAGTACAGGACATCAGCGCCGTACGAAGGAACGGGTTTATGAGTAAAGGGTCTAGATCTAGACTCTAGTTCATGTAGACGGGTTGCCAGCTATTGTAGACTAACGTTAAAAACTTTTACCATCAACAACGCGTGATTTTATTGCTATATTAAAAAAACTAGCTATAGCCCGAGGCTTCGCTAGCGTGATTAGTTCTCATTTTGTGTTTCTAACTTAAAAAATGACGAACTTGCATACAACCGTACTTGCATACAACCGTTCATTCCTTATTTTACATCCTTACGATTTTTATTTTCAAAAATCCTATCTTAGTAATTATTATGTGCTTCTTAGTGTCTTTATAAAAAGCTTCAGCTGTTAAAATTTCAAGTTTGTAGTCCCAGCGGTTTTGACTCTGCATTAATGAATCACTCAGTTGGGTTAAGTAATTTTATATGTATATATTACTATATAATCAATTCAATACGCTACCGATTTTGTTTTTTTGAAATCAGAATGTACTTAAGTCTTATTGTTTATGTGTGTACACCGCTCGTATATGAGTTGGATAAGTCGGTCTAACTTCTCAATAATTTTCTCTTACTTTACATGGTGGCATGTCGGACTCGAACCGACTAAAACCACACGCCGTCTCGGGTACCTACTAATAGCCGGGAAACCAGGTATACCCTAGAAAGGAAGTCCCTGGTGCTGTCTAGTGCACCTAGTCACACATTTTAGCACCACCCTAAGGTAGACTGGGAGAAAATGCCTGTGGCATTAAGTCATTGCCATTGTACCACCCACACTTGTGCATAAAGTAATAAAATAAAATGAAATAATTAGGTATAATAATTAGGTGATAAAACAAGGCTTATTGTCGTGCCTTGTTTTCAGGATACGACGAACGAAAAATATCTCTTCCAAAAATATACCTCTAATAAATTAAACTATATGTTATTATATCTTAGCTGAATGTTGTTGGCACCTGGGTGAGTTGGAACGAGGAGTAGAGTGGGCGCGCTCGGCGGTGCAGGCGGGGGGCGGTGAGCGAGCAGCGGCCCTCCTTGCCAAACTTCTACTTGCCTCTGACGATATACAGGGCGCCCTCAACGCTTATGACCAGGCCTTGTCGTTAGTATCAATCGAAAAAGTGTTCTTTATTGTATAGAGTTGAAATGAAACAGATACATGGTCACTAACCAGCATCCGGCCTATGGTTTGCATATGTATGCGATATTTCGCCAAAAATTATCGATTTAATTTCCGATACTTTTACTCAGCTACAAATACTTTTGAAAGTGAAAGTAATAATGCTATATTCGCAATTTCGTGTATGTTTGTGTAGAGTACTATTACTATGTTTCTTAAACAGTGGGATACTTTTTAGACTACTTGTTTTTCTGCTGTGATTTTGTAGATACATGATTTAGGTGCACTAAATTTCGTTACTGTTTTTTTAATTTATTGTTGCAAATCTAGATATTTTTAAACTGCATTTGCAGCACGCACGCATGCGGGGCCGACACACTTGCTGAGGCCGGAGCTCTCCGTCTACGATCTGGTGACCCTCGGAGTGCCTTTCAACTTCTGGGTGCGGCATTAGCGCAGCAACCAACCCAACATGCCGCTGCACTGGCCCTAGCGGCCATGATGCTTCAGCACAGGGACTTGGACGCGGCCTTAGCAAGACTCAAAGCAGCTCTCACAGCTCATCCAACCTGTGTGGCTGCTCACACAAACCTTGGAATGGCATTATTGTCTAAGAAGAAATACATTGCTGTTGGTATTTATAAAATATTATATATTTTTAAAGTGTCACCGACTTCATGACTAAATAATTACTTTACTTATTTATTTTTTACCCTGTTCTTAATTTTCTACCCTTGGGTTCAAAGATGAATCAAGATAGTCATGAGAATTTATCATTTATAACAAAGATATTTTATTTCTAACTTTTTAGTAGGAAAAGACAAAATCATATTCGATTCCCGATCTTCAAGATCTCCAAGTTTTGAAATTAGAATTTGATGATCAGAAAGGATGTATAAAAGTTTGCCCTGTCGGTTGCGCAGGCGCTGACGTGCCTGCAGCGCGCTGCTTGGACGGCGCCACTAAGCGCGCGTGCGGCACACAACCTGGGCCTGGCTTTACTCGTGTGCAAACGCCACGCATCCGCCTTCTGCCGCCTAGCTACTGCTGCAGCTCTACAACCATTTCAGCCCTACACGGTACCATAGCGTTCTTTTTTATTTGGAAATCGAAAAAGGTTGGCTAGCATACGCTAACATTTTTCATTAGATGTTGGACGATAACCGTGTGGTGACGGATTAAGAATACGGAGTGTCACCACCCCTATTCATCCCGTGGGTGTCGTAAGAGGCGACTAAGAAGGAAGGAAGGAAAACTTGACAGAAACCCTATACCAACCCGCCTGGCCAGCGTGGTATAGTATGCTAAAACCTCCTTTCTAAGGAGAGGCCAGCAGTGGACTATTAAAGGCTGTTGATGTGATGTGGACGATAAACGGATAAAGACGTCATCAGATGTTTTGTTAATATTAAAGCTACTACTCAGAGTCAGTTCAATTTTTTATGCAGTAAAAAAGAACTTGTATCTCACAATTAACGTCATAAAAATTTTCATTGTTTAATGTTTTTAATCAAATACCTGATTATATAGAAGATCCTAATAATATAAAATTAATATGGTTAAATTCTCCTAGGTCCTGTTAATAGGCATAGCTTTAGAGCGGTTGGGCGATAGCCGAGCTGATGCAGCATACTCCCGTGCAGTTGCTTTAGCAACCGATGACCCCCTCATCCGGCTAAACTTAGCAGGCAGGCACGCCCGAGCGGGTCGTGTTACTCAGGCTGTCGAGGAAGCTGCAATCACGGCCGAGCTAATACAGAAAGAAGAGAAACCCGATGCTCAGGTAGATATCTGATGAAATTGATGTTTGACTGTGTGAGTATGTGTGTCATGATTATTATGTTCCTTGTTTTGTTTCATTTTTTTTCAAGCATTAGGTCCGGTGAATACCTGTTTTGTAATTTGTGCAATTTTACTAGTTATTAAAAGTGGAAACCCACCAACCAACGCAGCGTGGCATGACGTTATGGTATAGAGGCATAGGGTGCACACGAGGGTACAACTAGTGGTAGGTGGCTACCGCAGGCTATCATGGACACCTGGAACTTAAGAGACACAAGTGCGTTGCTGACCTTGCCCCCCCCCCCCCCCCCCGGAAGGTCAGAGAGGTTGGTCCTTTGGTAACCTCACTCACTTGGTACAAAGTGACGTATTACTTAACAACAAGTTAGGCACTTGCGTCACTTGCCTGACGCCTTCTCCCTGGTGTGTTAACTATAGTGATTACTGTTGTCACTGTCCTCGACGCAGCTTAAAATAAACAAAATTATGGTTTTGGTTTTCCGTAGCTCGCTAGTTCTCTAGCTTCATTACTGGCTCTACTCAAAGATGCAGGAGTAGGACTGTCTCAACTTCCAGTTTCCGTCCCTAAGCTTGAAAATGCAAAACCGGCCAATAGCAACGATGCAGCTATTGAAGAAGAACAATTACAATCCGACGAGGTTTAGAAGTAAGTATCTTCATCGTACTTTTGAAGTCAGAAGGTACGATAAAGCCTGTTAAACAACTTTGTAGTCATAGCCCTCTGAAAATGCCAACTGGACATAATGAACGATTTTTTCTCTTGGATACTCTGGATACTCTGGACTCTTGGAAAGCCTTTGTATAAGCAACCAAATTGGCGATGACTTCCCCGACTGACAGATTGCATACCAAGTCTTACCTACATGTGATCTGAATCAGAAGCACGCCCGACGGGCCTCCGTGCGCTTGCTTAATGCAGGATATAAACTGCCAGGAATAGATTAGCAATACAACAAAAACCTAAAAAAATTGCTAACTACTAACTTTCTAAAATACTATTATAAAATAGGTATTACTAATTTTTTAAACAATAACGTTATTGATAAAATAAAAACGATGTCACTTCCTCTTCATTAGATTGGTGATTTTAATTTACAGTAGATAGTTGTAACTGAAGTTACAGGAAATACCTAATATCTTTAATGAAATGCTATAATGCTGGGAATCACCACAGTGGTGAACAGAATAGTTTGAAATGAGAATATTTTTTGGCCATCACCGATAATACAGTTCGTTAAGGCTACTTGCTTCCCTCTGCATCATCGTATTATTTTGAAGGCAATCAATTTGAACATATCAATATGTAGCTGAACTATTCAAAACCCTAAAATATAATTAGATTGCCCACATTTACGACTAGGAATAAAACATGAAACAAATATTGTTTTGACGTTATGCAACAATGTCTTTATTGTTGAGTGCAGCTGTAGTGACTGTGTGTTTTATTGTCGTGAGTTTCATTGGTTCAAATGGTTTCATTTTATATTTAAACTAGCTGTGCTCTGCCAACCTTCGCTGTGGCACATTGTGTGTGTAGGACTTGAAACGTACAAAAACCAACTTAACTTTCTTATAGTAATTAAATAATATATACAATATGTAAAATTTTGAAGAACATATTTTGCGAAATGCCAAACACACTTTTTTCTGACAGCAATTTGCACCAAGATAAAAGACTTTGTGAAACAAAAATCTGAAGGCATATAGACGACCGGGTGGCGTAGTGGTTTGTGTAACGGACTGCTATTCTAAAGGTCGTGGGTTCGTTCACGCTCAAGTCAAACATTTGTGTGCATGAACTTTTAATATTTGATTTGGTCTGGGTGTTTCTATGTATAATAATATATGTGTGTATTTACAAAAATAAAGGTATATACATATGTATTTATATCAGTTGTCTAGTACCCATAGTACAAGCTCTGCTTAGTTTAGGACTAGATGGCGTTGTATGAATGTGGTAGAATATTATTATTATTTTATTATATAAAATGGCGCCAAAAAAGTGTTTTTTATTAAACAGTTATAGAAAACCATAAAGGTTCAGTATATATTTTAACCTCTCATGGCATATTAGTCAATACAAAGATAGTTCAAGTTCTGTTTAATGAAATAAAACAAGACATCCCAAACGGTCGAAATTCAAGCGCCGATGCCAGGCGATCTATAGTGTGGGTACACAAATAGTTCAACACTTAGATAATTAATATAATATACTCTTTTTGTAATAGATCGAGTGCAAAGAGCGTACAGCGAGCCTTGTGGTCCTCCCACCGCTTGTTATAGGATACGAGGAACTGTACAACGACTCTCCAGAAAATGGCAAAAATGTAACGCAGAACGTAGAACAAGATGCTAAGGGAAAGGAAATAGTGATAGACGGAATCAATGAAAAAAACATTAAAGATATCGTGAACGGAGAGATAGATAAACTGATGCAAAAGGATAAAACTATAGAACAAAAGGATGCCGGTACGCTGATAGATGTGAAAGGCAGAAGACGCAATTACAGACGCTCCCAGAGGGGTCGTAGACGGCAGAGAATTATTGAAAATACAGAATAAAATATCATTTGTAATTGTTTTTGTTTAAATTATTTAAAAGGTATGGTTTCTTTTTAATATTTAATATTTTTATTGGAAATTTATTGATCAAAATATGTGGATCCAAAGGGAGTTGATAGATTCATCAATCATCAACAGCCTATAACAGTCCACTGCTGGACATAGGCCTCTCTTTAGAAAGGAGGTTTTGATTGATTACCTACCTTTGATCAGTACTTATAAGAAATCTATACACAAAGCTGTGTGTAGTGCACAAAATTTTAAAATTGTTTTTACTATTTTACTTCTGTAGAGTTATTGGAGGCTGTTAATATCTAAATGTTAACCCCCAGCTTAGAAAATAGGTTCTACACTAATTAAAACCATTTTCTTTTAGGTGGGTATTCATGAACTTTGGTGTCGGTGGATCCTCTGCTACCACATACTTTTTAGCATATTCCCAAAACTCGCCAAATTTTTACGGCGATGTAGACCCTCGTCAAGTTTGTTACGGATCTCTGGGGTTTCATTTGGACTACTATGCAAATCACTAGCGTAGACCTATACAATAAAAAAAAACTAGTTATTTGATATTTAGTGTCATATTACTCGCAAAGATTTACACATATACACGGGGCACGGGACTTAATGCCCAGTGGCATTTTCTGCCGGTCAACCTTCAAGTCCGCCCTGCACAATACAAAATAGAGGAAGTGTAAAATAAATTACAACTCACAAAAGTGATTTGTGAGTGAGTGAGCGTACTAACATACTTAGGCTAATATGTCCAGCATTAATTTCTACTACTTAGGCTTGAGGTCTTCGAATGACGCTTTTGGTGTTTTCGTGAGTCGCTGGTTGTAGAGTACAGGAATCTAGAGCGATGAATAGAATAGAATAGAAATATTTATTTGTCAATGTAAGAAAATTATTATTATATGTTACATAATATTATTTAAACTATGCCGCTACATTGTACCCATAGGCATACAAGTTTTAATTATTGTTAAATCCTTATTTTAAATGCTTATGTTAACTAAATTTGTGTACTAAAAATTAATAACACAAAACCATAAATCTTATACTTACCTTATATAATTAAACCTAAAATAACACACAACTACACAAAAAGAGACAAAATAAACACAAATAAATTAATCAGATTTATCATCAATAAACTCAGTTGTAGAAAAAAACCTTTTTTTTTATGAGGAACTCCTTGAAAACTATTTTTTAAATCTCTAAGATGCACAAATCGGCACAAATGGGCCGGCTAGACCGGAGTGATACCACGGCCTCACAGAAAACCGGTGTTGATTAATTATTTCGTTGCTTTACATCCAGTAACAAGTTATCGTAAGCCCAATCCGCGCCCTCCCCCTAATTATAGGAATCAAAAAGGTGGCAATGCACCTTCCTCTTGAGTTGCAAGCCATGGGCGGTGATAGTCACTAGCAGGTGACCCGTCTGCTCGTTTGGTCCCCTAAAGTTAAAGCGAGACCACTTTCATAGACTTGCGTCTTATTATTATTATTTACTACTTATCCCGTAATCTCAGCTGCTTAATAGGCCCTGTCTACCCCTTCGGAGATATAGACGTAAGTGTATGTATATGATATATAACCTTAACTTATCTAAAAAGTAAAAAAAGCTTTCAATTTTTTTTTTCCTTATCATCGTTTATTTGTATTTTAGACTACATTACATTCGCTTCGTAAAATTATCCTCCCGTTAGGTCTTGATTAGTCCGCTAACGTGTCTATTTCTTTATCATGAGATGACGAAAAACTCCAGTCATTTCGTAAACTGTCCAATAAATAAAGGCGTGTCTTCATAGACGATTCCCACGTAGAATGGTTGATTGTTACAAGAACGCTCATTTTGTGCCGGTATCATGTTTGATGGGACGGTTAAACCTGTGAAACATTTTTTTTTTCTCAATTAAAAAGATAACTCCCGCATTAGGAATAAATCCTGTGCCGCGGGGGACTTTAGAAACATACATGAAACGGACACAAAGAACACCCAGACTCAGAACAACAATTTGTGGATCACACAAACTGTCGTCCCATGTGGGGTTTGAACCCACAACACAATTATTATTTTAATAAAAATAGGAAAAAGAAAGGGTACTAAAGAAAAATGGCGGGACCAATATTCAGTGAATATAGAACACATAGCTTGTTCTTAAAAGAAACACACTAAATTTTAATACGCTATATTACGGCTAGGTTTGAATCGTTATTATACTTTTAAAATGATAATTTAATTAAAATTGATTATTTTATTTACCTATTTTACCTAATTTGTTAAGGCGTTTAAAACGTTTGGGCCGCATAGAATTTATTTTAGAAATATTTTATACAATTTTATTTACATTAACTACTTCTTGAATTAAAAATAATAATATTACAAGTTATTTACTAAGTACCTACTTACAATTTAAACACGCAATTCTTACAAAAAAATAAAGCTATACCAAACTAAATGCTAAATTGGAAGAGACAACGGCAAACAAACTGCTGTAAAGAACATAAATATAATTCTTAAAAACTTACATGTCAAAACGGTGACATTTGCTCCCATTTTATTTACAATTAAGGCGCCATATTGTACAATATTACTCTTTGCAAATCTATTTATTTCCTAAAAAGGTTAGTCGTAAATTAATTAAGGTTACTTAATACAGGCTTTTTACCATACTAGAAGTGTCCTGTTAAATGTACTTACTTGATTACTATTGCTATCTAGTAAACAAATTTGAGAACTGATTACAATGGTTTGTGTCGAACAAACGACTTCTAAAAAATCGATCTAAGTGGCGTGCAATGGGAGAGGCCTATGTCTAGCAGAGGACTGCGATAGGCTGATGATGATGAAGCGACTTCTTGCGGTTATTGCAATAGGGTGGATATTTAGGTTTAAAATAAATTATTTTTCCTGAATCATAAACTATAACGTCTTAAAGTACAGCCTTAACTGTCCTTCATTATCAATTTAATGTTCTTATATCTTCAAATAATTGACAATAACGGGGTATGACGTCACGCGACAGTATTTCATACAAAAATGTACTGAGTATATTGTTTTGACGTTTAGTAAGAAGATGCTCAACAGTCATCTACCCCATTACACATATTTTCATTGTACATGTCCAGCAGTGGTTATGGCCGAAATGATGATGATGAAAATACAAAAAATCTCAACCCAGCTGTATCAAAAAAGTACCTCTGAATTCTCTATTCTGCTGTTAATACTAATATTTGGTGCATTTAGTTCACACTTTGTGGTGAAAAGAGGCTGTATACTTCTCACCGCTGCATCCAAACCTTGGTCTTTCAAGATGTTGAATAAGTTCTGCAAGACGTCAACCTCATTTGGTACAACTATTACCAACTTCAACCCTGACCGTAGTGGAAGTTCTAAAAGCTGCAAATGTATAAAAAAAAGATTCTGTTAAACAATTAGAAAATCTGTGTTTTACGAAATAAATGATGGATTGATTGACTATTGATTAGTAGTTAATGGTTGCTAAACATAGTTTTAAACATCATCAGTTTAAATTTCGGATAGATTTTTACATCGGACATTCAACAGTTGCGGTTATTGTTATTTACGGCACTCATTAACATCTTTGGTCCTGATTCTGAGAGCCAAAAGGTGACTGTTATGGGTTAAAAATGTAAAGAACTTACCCTGGCTTCGTATTTAACGTCTTGTGTGTAAGTAAAAGAGTTATATATTTTCATAATTGGGCTAGAATCGCTAAACGATGCCCAGGTACTCTAAAAAGAAATTAACGATTCTACAGTCATAAAATCATTACAATATATTACGAATAATGATTATTAATTTTCTAAGATTACACTTAAATGAAAGTAAATAAATAAAATAAACGTACTGACTTTTTGAAGGAACACTGTAACAAGCCCTTTTTTTTGTTGACGGGGTGGATTTCCCTTCTCATGTCCTGCTCCTCGGGGACTCAGGAGCCAGGAGTGTGATATGTGATAGGTGGCGATTCCACTAAAAACCACCCCGACCCCGTGTCCTACTCTGGGAGGACCCGGACCATGTTATTTCAGGTCCTCCCCGAATTGATACCATGCCTAATCAGTAATCAGGTCCTATCCCAGGGGAAAACACTTCCCCCCTTAATCGAGGCGTGGCGGCCATTCTATTCCTACTGTAACAAGGCCTACTAAACAAAAACGGTTTGCTAAAAAAATGAAATGTTTGAGTACTACTTTGAGACATACAATTCCTTCACAGCAAGTTTGCCATTTCGTAATTGTACTTACTTTTATGTTTAAACTCATGTTTCAAAATACGTAGCTCATTCAAAGTGCTTCAAGGTAAAATACAATTATAAGATACTAACCTGTAACGAACTCACATTAGCTACAACATAATCCGTTTTGGAATCCAACTCTCTTGTAAAAGCGCAGTTTCTTAATTCTACATTTTTATTCACCTATAAAAATAAAATAATTGTATTATATCTTATTTAGATAACTTTATATAATATTACCGCTTACCGCTGTAGATTCCAGCAGTGGACTAGTATAGGCTGTTGATGATGATGATGATGATATAATATTACTTCAGTTAGGGTCCGTGTGATGACGGATTAAGAATACAGAGTGTCACCACCCCTATTTATCCCGTGGGTATAATAAGAGCCGACTAAGGGAGCAAACTGTGCAAAGCAACAGCACTGCAAAATAAGGAAAACTTGAAACAAAATCCTATACCAACCCGTCTGGCCAGCGTGGTATAGGGCCAAAACCTCAATTTTAAGGATTGGCGTATGTCCAGCATTGGACTGTGACTATGAAGTATTAAAAATAATAGGATAGCTAACGAGAGGCCTATCCTCTCGTTAGAAAGGCGGTTTTGGCCACCTGGCCAGACGGGTTGGTAGAGTTTATGTCTTCCTTTCCCTTCTGTTGCTGAGCAATATAAAAATGAGTTTAAGAAATCCTTTCGCACAAACACCTTAATTCAAGGTTTTGTACAGTAAATTCTACACTATTATATAATTAATTAACGAATAATCCAGTCACACAGCATAATTATATTATTAAGAGTGGATAGTATAATCGCTATGCAGAGAATTGCACTTGTAGGACAGTAGCAGAATCCGAATAATTAGCCGAATTATTCTCGTAAAGGAACTACTGGACCCAAAGATCTACTACTAAGATCACTATTATATACTGACTTCGTAATCGATTACGTCAGACAGTGTGCGAACTTAACACACGTTAAGCAATGGCCGATAGCTGTTTGACAGTGAATCAAATAAGAATCTGGTAGTGATTTTCAGATAGAGTTAATGTACAAGCTGTAGTTAACATTTGGGTCCTTCCAACTATTATCCTACAAACCCCGCCAGCATTGATAGCCATACACTTTCTCAAACTAGGTTGGGATCGGCTTTCAGCCTACTATAAAACGGTTGAACTTCGATTTTTTACGTGGAGTGACTGCCATCAGACTTTCACAACCCGAATACTAGGCCATATCGAAGATAGACTTTTATCGGATTTCTATGGCAAACAGCATAATATTTAATATTAAAACTTTTTACTGTATTTGGGAGTCGAGAGGTTATTTTCTATTGAATTAATGTTAAATATATTTTACCCATGTATTTAAACCATTGTCAGGTTTACTGAAATCAACTTCTTGAGTTTCAGGAATATTCATTGAACTTTTTATTCCATGTTTCAATTTGTATGACGACGACACAAAGAGTCTTGTTTTGATGGAACAGATGTTCTTGTTCTTTATATGATTCGCCGTCTAGAACAGATAATAAACCATATTTATACTGATACTTTTTTTTGGTATAGGGGGCAAATCAGCAGGCGGATCACCTTATGGTAAATGACTACCGCCGACAATTGACTTCTGCAACTCAATACTCACAAGTATGCTACCGCCCCCCCCCCCCCCCCCTCTGTAACCTATGCACTCGGTGAAGGGCAACGAAAGAATATCGGTAAATTACAGCCGAAGGTGTAGTCAAGGGACGTAACAGTTTAACGTACAGATTATTAATTATTTTCAACTGACCTGAAGATACTTCTCCACTCTTGGCCGTCCATCTTTGAAAACAGACAGCACCATGTTGTATCCGAGCGGAGAACCAACCCATTGCTGCGTCGCCTGTCACCCACCAACTTGTAATAAACACAAGTAGGTACTATCAGAAGTAAACATTATATTTAAATTAGGAAAATTCGGATCGGTAATTACTTTATAATTATGATTTAATTGTTTAGGGAGTACGACAGTACAGGCCTTAGGGGTGGCAGGTGAGGCCATCTGTCACCCTAGCAGAAGCAGGCCGGGGTGGCGGCGAGACGTGCTGCGGAGCGCGCGTGGATTTTCCGGAGCACCTAGGGAACATAGCGGTTCCCACACAGGAGAGGTTCATTTACCCGCCGTAGATGGCCGGAGGTACGTCGGGGTACCATGGATTTCCTTTCTAGGGTACACCTGGTTCCCCGGCTACTGGTACCCGAGACGGCATGCGGTTTTTAGTCGGTTCGAGTCCGTCACAGTCACCGGTGGGTGGTATCCGAGAGAATTTCCGCACAGAAAAAAAAATCCTCAAGCTTCCTCAAGATTTTAGACTATTTTTTTTAGCAAAAAAGATGTGTTAAAATGTATTTTTTTTTACAAAATCTGAAATGCGCTGCATAGGTACAATTATACTCGTAAGTAAGGATTTACAATAGTGGTTACCGGTAGATGCTTATATTTACAGCAAGTCATATTTGTCTAAAAAATATGTATAATGCTTTATTTTCATAATATACCTATAATTAATAACTTTGTATTATTAAGACGCAGTGTTCAACTGCAAACTCAGGTTCGATTCCCACTCACTACAAATATTAAGTCACGGCTATTATGTGTAAATATATATTCATGAAATACAGTTTAAGTAAAAGATGTGTATTGTTTTAGTAAGTAGTTAAATACAAACCTTTAGAAACATTTTGAGGAGTCTTATATTCAGTGTTTACATTGGAAAGAAGTATTTATTAAAACTGTACTCTGTCGGTATTTGTTAGCTTTAAAAATAAAGCGTAGGCTTGAAATTGACTTTAGTATATATTAATTTAATTATACAACTTTATGCCTCCTACAGCACATTTTATCAACTAAAACGTCAAACATTTTAGGTCAATGTGACACCAATAGTGTCATAATATTACTGTACTCTGTGGTGTCATCTGATAATAAAATAATGATAAAAAATTAATACAGTTACACAATATATAGATAGGGCTGTAGCAAACAATACCTATATGTACTGTGCACAGATAACTATATATTAGTCAGAGACAGATGGGACACTGCAAATGTTACCAGTACTGTAGAGTGTTTTTACTCTGACGTTGTTTTCTTTTTGACAGTTCCATATTATAATAATGCCCGAAATGTTGCCGTTTCAAATAAATGTAACAATCGATTCTTCAGTAGCTTTCAATTGATTTATTAAAGAAAATAATATGAGGTAAAGATACCAAACTCGTTTGTTAATCTCTGTTATATTGTCAATTAGCAATAATTTTTGTAATCGTTTGAAACGTTTTTTTTCTTGTATTTTTTTCTTCTTGATCCTATACTGCCCTAGAGCGGTACTTTAACTAGGTACTTTGGTACTAGAACGTGTTTTGAAAGTTTTTTTTTGTTTGAAACAATGTGTAAAGATAAACAAGATTAAATAGTAAAAATTGACATATGTTGTGGTGTTGTCATATTTGAATTTTGTTATATGTCAAATATGTTCATAATCAAATAAAGCCTCTTATGTAAGAGGCTTTATTTAATTATGAAAGCAATTTAAAACACCTACTTCAAACTTTTTTCTGAAATGACATCATATATTCAATATTTGTACTTTTTTAAATTAGTGAAAGACATCTAACACTATAAAGAGACCAAAATCCAGGATATGTCTTAGGTCTGCTATATTAAATATAATAAGATATTGCGCTGTATATACACAGCACCTTATGAATTTTGTCAATGATTACGTATATAATTACCTATGGTAAGGGTTTAACAATAAAATGAAACAATTCAAAGTTTTCAATTATTTATATTGAAATTATCACCTTCAAATACCAGCACTGAAGGGTGTCCACGTTTGACGTACAACACAATTACAATATAACCACTGACAGAGTACAAAATAAAATAATACAACATAATCGTACTGAGCCGGCCTGGCTTACTTGGACTCGCCTGAAGGCACTTGAGGTCAAATATTTGCTTGGAGTTATAACTTGGCAAGTCTATATTCAAACATATTCTGAGTCAGTGCTCATGACAAAAAAATCAAAGAGCAACTGTCTCCAGAAACATGTTCTTATATTATTAATATTTTTACTAACGGGCAACAAAACTCTCTCACACATTTTGACTCAATTTACCAGATACCATGCATACTAAATAGGAGCGCTACACATACCATTTAGACAACCAATAAAGTTGTGAAAGAAAATATAGTTACACCGCAGACCGGCCGAAGGCTACAAAATTATTGCTCGACATTAAAAAAGTTACTCACTATGAAAGTTATTTTATCTTTTATACAAATTATTAATTTTACACCATGTACGCAATGGCTATGTCGGACAGAAAATACTCATTGAGTCACACGATCGTTTCATTCCGTGTAAATACCTGTCATTATTTCAGCTGGAAACATAATTAGATGCTGTGTAGTAACTGTGCATTTAATAAGACGGACATAAGACCAATCGGTACAAATATTTTTCTTTAACAGATATAAACATCGATTCCGGTTTGGATCATGTCGAAATAAGAAAACAGCGTACATATCACAGTTTCTATTCCCCTTGCATTATTATTGTATTGTTTTAATATTTAAGCATTTTTTATGAACAGAAAACTAATGGCGTTCCCAGCTAAACATTCAGTCTAAACATTTTCAGATGAGTTTTTAACGCAGCACAATTTTCATTTTATACATAGAACTCTCACGCAAACCCACTATGTGATAAACAGGCACTAAGGATGTACAAGGTTATAATCTCATAGTGAATGCAATTTTAGATATATGAAAAGCCAAAATAAAATAGGATTATGCGTTTTCTTGTTATATAAGTACGGTGCGAATAGAGTATACCTAGTTTAGAACTAGTGGTGAAAAGAATTCAGTGTGATATTAATACTAAGTAACATAGATGTAAAAGTATTATGACTGTGGTTAATAGTATAAAATAATTAGAACTATGAAAAATGTGTAAAAAATCACATGGCAGGTTTCTGTGGGAGGCTGTTTCTGTGTGAAAATAGTCTTCCTTACTGTTCTGCAAATCTTTATTTATCACTTTTTATAAAAATCTCTGATAACAACGGTATTAGATGTGTCTACTATCAGCGCTCTATCTAAAAATCATATTTTTATATTTACATTTTTAATCAATATTATAATGAGTACTAATGTCCTGTTTTTCTTATTTGACACATTTTAGGGTTGGCAAATTTTTTGATATATATTAAACAAATACAATGTATCTGTTTAGTTTCTTTTTGTACAAGGCCAAAATAATTTTTTGCACAACCCTCACACACACCACAAAAAGTACAAAAGTCCTTCATTTTTAAGTCTATATACTATTCAATTCATCCTATTCTCTGAACACTATTCATACATCGTCTCTATGTTAAATATTAATAATTTCTATCTTTATAAATGCACTTCTTGTTAAAGTTTTACATACTACTTCTAAACAAGAAAAACGGTGTGTTAATGGAATCAAAATTTAAGCAACTAATATAACGTGTAAATCAATGTAGATAATATAGCAAAAAGAAAGAAATGCGGCAACATTAGTAACCTATTTTCAACTTGGTTTAATGGTAATATAAAGCTTAAGACTTCTGCGCCAATAATAGTAAATTAGATATGCGACATTCTTGCCCAAAGGCTTCAATGGCGTCCATTTTTATTTTCATTTCTTCACTCGTGCTGAATGATTGTACTTTAATATAATGAGTGTTTTCATGTTGATAATTTTCAATGACTTTAAAAGGTGGCTGCCGATAATCTTCAAAAGAAATACATCCTATAGTTTGCATAAGTATCTTCTTGCAAATATGAGATAGAAGAATAAACAAAACAATATACAAATGAGCCTACATAAACAAATATCTACAGAATACTCAAGAATACTGAAACATGATGGCATTGCTTTTCTCACACGTCGACTTAAGATATATATTTCTTTGGTGTTGTGTCATATTTTATGTAATATTCCATTGCTATTGGACGCTATACGAATGGCGCACTATAATACTAAACTGTGATATGTGCGAATACTGCTCAAATTTACCCACATACCGTCCACTTTACACCAATACGAGTCAGTTTACATATTATACACATCTTTTTACAACACGCAATCCTCGCACAGATCACAAAACTAATTACATTAATTAACTAATATAGTCCAACACTAGTCTTCTCTATATTTACAGTACTCGTTTCTATTTACACAAATGGAATTACTGAGATCATTTCTTACGATAATAACAAAATGAAAGTTACGAGGTCAGCCGTATTTATAATTATTAAATTAAAAATAATACTTTAGAATAGACTGGTTTGGTACACGGCTGGTACACGTGGTGTAGTGTACCTTACATGAGGTAATAGTTTTTACCGCACCGGTATCATTGTTGAGCCTAAATTACCGTAAAACGAAACGACTTCTTCTCGTTATAATTGTAGTATAGCCGTACTTGTTATGAACAAGAATGCATTTGTACATGTTTGCATTGTATTTATAAACCTAAAGCATTGTTACCAACACCTAACAATTATTATTTCAGAATGTAATGTATCCAAAGGAACTCCACACATAATTCTATGTGATGAGGTCTAGTAGCATAACGTCGCCTAAATTTGTCTTTTTAACGTAGCAGTATATTGCACGATAACAATAAAAATAAACAAATCAAAACATTATTCAAAACAACAATTGCACTTTTTCAAACTTGAATCATGTTCCATTATAATATTACATATAATTACACGAAATAACTATATGTAAACTGTTATCCGAACAGGAAAAGTATTGTCAAACAGTTACCATATACAAATAAAACTAATCACTTTGCAAAGTCATAAAACAAATTCCTCAGCTTTTATATCGATTTACACCTCACTAAAAAGTTTCAATTTTAATTACCGAATAGTCTTTGAGGTTCTTAAATTCAAAATTGGAATGCTAAATCGAAAGTAAACGATACAAATTCGGTGGGTTATGCTAACTAAGCTTAACTGGGCTCATCCGAATCTCTCTTTGACAAGGAACATGAGTTTCTTTTTGCCTTTATATTTGAGTTTGATTTCTTGGAGTAGCGCCGCGAATTGGTGGGGGCCGTCGGGCGCTAGCGCGAAAGTGTCGCGGGCTTTGCCTGAGGAAAAAAAATTCAATAGATAAGTTTTGAAAACGCGTTTTAATTAAAACAGAACAGAATAAATAGTACTCGTATGATTATAAAACGTAATGGTGATTTGTTTGATATCTACTAAAATAGTTAAATACTAGCTTTTATTATTTTTACAAAACAGTACACAGTTACAAAGAAGTACCTACATACAAATTAATCGAGTAGTCTTTATAAATCGTTTGGGTGTTTTAAAACCTATTTAAATATTATTACAAGAAAACTTGATTTTACTCATAATGTTTTTTTTATTTCCAAAAGTCTACACTCAAACTAGTCAGTTTGATAATGGCAATAGCGACGGTATTAAAATATTTTAATTTTTTCAAGGGTATATCTTAAAGTATATTGCTACATTGGCATGTAAAATATGCGGGTTATATATAATGGCGTGTGGGGCTGGTTACCGAGGAAGTCGACGAAGTCCGCATAGTGCCTGGGCGAGATGTGCGCGAGGCGCGCGTGCGTGGTGGAGGCGTAGGCGCGCAGCGCGGCCTCCAGCAGCGGCCGCAGCGGCGTGGGCGGCCGCGGCGCGCCGCGCGACCGCGAGCAGCCCGCCGCCGCCACGCAGCAGCGCCGCAGCACGTCCGACTGCGGAAACACCATGCTGCTCGTTTACTCGTCCTCAAACAACAACTAGCATGAACCTTGCTCCGAGTTAATAACTTCGGTCACACTGAACGCAGCTTTTAGTAAGTTAACACCAGTGAGTCGTAGTGAAACCGAATGTGCAAATTTTATGTGGAAATCGTTTGAGGTTGGTGGTCATTTAATTTTTTTGCGATTGAGATTTAACTTTCTGTAATTTAGTCAAGTATTAGTAACTTATTTATGAGTATGTATTGTCGCAAAACGAAATATGTAAATGTGCTCATCAGCAGTTTAGTCACCATGGTCCAGGTCTTGCCTCTGTGTTTATTTACACTTCACAGCCGATCATGTCTGAGATATAAAAACAAATGTTTATCGATATATATTAATATAATATATACGTACAAGTACAGGCGCGCACTGCACGTTTTTAACGAGCAGCGGCAACATCGCCTGCAGCTCGGCGCGGCCCAGTGAGTGCGCCAGCGCCACCGCCCAGTGGATGTCTGCGATCGCCGGGTGGCTGTCCTGTAATATTACACACCAGCTTTAGATGTCTTGTTTAGTGAAAAAGGACGAAAGTGTGTAAAAAGAAGCCGGGGGAGTGCGCGATATTTGGTTTGACCAATAATAGGTCGACAGAGACAGTATTAGACTTGTCCGTCAGATGGTAGTTGAGGCTAGCTCGTTTTTTTTGTGTTACACCAGTTGGTCTAGTCTGGCTCGCTATTAAATACAACCGATATAAATAAACGCTCTATTAATTTGTTTGATAAAATTCCCAGAATATGCAACCTACGTGAGATTTATTAATATTTTTCTTGTTAATCAGAGTAGTAAAATTCAAGGTATGATACCTGGTTGTAGTGTAAGTGCAGGTTGCGCATGGCGAGCGTGGCGAGGCGCATGGCGCGCGCGGGCTGGCCGCGCTGCTCCATGTAGCGCGCCACGGCGAAGAGCTGGCTGGACGCCAGCGCGCCCCGAGCAGCAGCGCCGCCCACGGCCGCGCACGCCGCCTCGAACGCGCCCGCCGAGCCCTCGCACACCGACAGCGCGCTCAGCGCGCACCCCGGTGGGTCCTGCGGGACCACACATCCACATATACACTACCGTATAGATAACAGAGAAACTTCATTTTTTAACATTTTTAATCCAGTCCCATTTTGTCATAAAGTCTTTCTTGTAAAATACCTCAAAAACTCCACATATGATGTTTCATAAAAAGAGTCGGATTCTTCACTATACTTATTCCATTCGCGTTAAGAAAATAGTGAAGCATGGACCAGCCCCGCCCCCTGACCAATCAGGTTCCAAGAAATTATAGTTTCACTCGTCTACTACGTTACTATCGTCACTATTTTCTTAATGCGAATGGACTGTAATTTCCAAAATTATATCCATATCTGAATCCCTTTTACTGCCGAATCGTTCCAAAATATTTCGTAAAAATGAAACACGTGTCGAAGTAAAATTTCGACCCAGAATAAAGAAAGAGATATTTGTCAAAAACGTTTGGTTAATTTACCATTTACGTTAAGGTTTATCCTTAGTTATCACCATTAGGTTTTATGAAACGAAAGTGACTGAGTCGTGGAAATTCCGTTCTTAATTATTATTTTTATATATCAATTTTGACTACATAATATGCATTAAACACCTAAATTAAGCCAATTTGAACTGGATACTACCTTTTTAAATATTTTCAATGCTACTTAATGTGGGCTACGTACCTTGGCTGCACATTGCAACGCGAGTGTTCTAGCGCAAGCACTGAGCTTCTCCTGTTGGTCGAAGCTGAGTCCCAGCCGCAACGCGGTCTGATGAGACATGGCCGCCGCCGCTACCGGTCCTGTCGCCTCTGTTGGCGTGAACAACTCGTACCTGGAAAATAAAGAGTTATTTTTTACTACTTTCCTAGATAGATTATTAACTAATCATATAAATACGAATGTACAGTGGTATTCGTTATCAGAATACAAAGTTCTTCTATTCAGAAAATAATAAGCGATTCTTACAGTAGTTGCATATACCGCCTAATATCTCACAGGTTGTAGAAAAGCAAGAGACAAGATGGTACACATCAAAAAGGTAAACATTAAATTTGCGTGAGTGATGCCGGGGGCAGAAACTAGTGTCACAAGCGTCATTACCAGACCATATATTAGTAGACTAGCTACTGCCCGCGACTCCACTCTGTGATAAGTTTTTATTTCGTGTTTCTAACTTTGAAAATGACAAACTGTTCAAATTCTTTCGTATTGGGTGCTTAAAACATAAAAAGCTGCTGCCAAAATTTCAACTTTGTATCCCTAAGTTATGGTTTAGGCTCTGCGTTGATGAATTAGTCAGTCAGGGCAATTTATTTTATACATATAAAATAAATTGAAAAATAGATATATTCCTCTTCGGTCATACATAACTATGTCTTACCGTAGATTACAAGATACACAGGTTATGTACTGACCAGTTTTGCATGATGGAGAGCAGCGCATCAAGGCCCAACTCAGTGGCACACGTCACGAGCCAACGGACCATCTCTCTCCGTCGCCAGTTCACTGACGACAGCGTCATTCTCAGAACCTGCAAGGAAACGTCGGTCAGTTAAGTCGTTGGTCCTCTTAAATTGATAAGGAGACCACAGATAGTCTCATCCTTTTTATTTTTAACAGGTACTGTTTCCCACCAAAAAAAAATAGTTTTCAAAAATTAATAAATTTATTTAAAAAATAACAAAAATAGAAACTTTAGTCTATTTTTGTTATTTTTTAAATAATTTTATTAAATTTAAATAAAATTAAATTTTATGTAATTAAAGGCACTAAAACATTTAAATATACTGCCTATTCTTAAAACAGTGTTCTACTATAATCATCCTTAACCCCGTTTTTCTATGAGGCTGTGGTGTCACTCCTGTTGAGCCGGTCTATTTATGCCAGGGTATGACTCTCTCATGAGATGTTACTTTTAATGATTCCAGCGAAATAATTGATTTTAAACCTAAGAATCTACACATACACACGCCTGGCATTGTAACTTGCGTAGCAATAAAAATGCTACATTCGAAAATGCGAGAAGTAATCTGACATTCGAAGAGGTGGGAAGTAATGTGGCTTTCGGAAAGGCGGGCAATAATGTGACATTTGAAAAGGTGGAATGTAGATACCATTGAATTTAGAATGTGATAACAATATAGTAGAGGAGTGCTTACCTGCAGGCCGAGCTCGAAGGCGGCGGCGAGCAGGTCGCGGTGGTGGTGCGGCGCGGCGGGCGGCGCGGCGTGGCGCAGCGCGTCCTGCGCCAGGCGGAACAGCTGCGCCGCCGACCGCACGTGGCGCTGCGCCGCGCCCAGCGCCAGCCGCAACCGCCCCGGGTTGCCGCGGGCCGCGCCTGCGCATGCATCAGGTTCAGGTTTAAACTTTCTATAAAACTTTTGGCCAGTGACACAGTGTTATTTTGCACATAATCAATAATCTTCGGCTATCTTTTTTTATTTATTTATTTATTGACACTAAGAGTACAGTTTGGTGTTAGCTATAAAACGTCACAAAAACCATAACGGGTTTGTCAGGACGTTGAATCACTTTTGAGCAATTACGATAATTTCACTTAGATATAAGTTAAAACTAAAAACAATGTTTATAGAATAGAACCAACAATAGGCCAAGTACATATACAAGTGGTACAGAAAAGTGGAATCATATTTAAAGGTCGTATGTAGATCCCGTAACTAACATAACGTTTGAAATAAAATCGAGATTTTAACAAAAAAAAAACTTATTTAGAAACTGACAAATTAAAAAACAAAGGTCGTAAAGGTCGAAACACGTACCTAACAGCGCACTAGCGAGTGCAGCTTGCTGCTGCTCGGCGTGCTGCAGCGTGTGCCAGGCGCCGGCCGCGCCCGCCCCGGCGGCCCCACCCGCGCCGTCTAGCGCATATGCTTCTTCTACCATCGGCAGTCTGATAAAAAATTTGATTAATTACTTAATATTGTCAAACAGAATTTTGTGCTAAATGTGTACTCTTGAACGAAATGTGTAAAATAGGCTAAGTTAGAAATACCTCCTCCTTAAAGCACAAACGAAAGAAATCAGTGTCATTCATATCAATGGTGATCTAGAGCGATGATGTACCTCATAGCCCGAAGTCCGACTCGGTAGGCCAGGTCGGGGTGCGCGGGCAGCAGCGCGAGGAACAGGAAGCGCGCGAAGGTGTGCGCGGGCGCGGCGCGCGGGTGCGCGTGCGCGCCGAGGCACGAGGCAGGCCCGCCCGCCAGCAGCGCGCTAGCCGCACGCGCACACACGCCCGCCGCCGCCTCGCCCTCCACCCTCTGCAGCTGAGCGATCAGTCGCTCCTCCTGCGCCAACCACTCTCACGTCAACTCATGTAATAATTTTGTCGATGGGAAATTACAACCTTTTTTCAATTTATAAAAATAATCCAATGTAACTGATATTATTGCAAGTGTTTTTTTGAAACAGTGAAAAAACTACTATTCTCAAGAGATATTTAGTTTTTTTACAACTGTTTTAAAAAGTATACATTCACAAAAAATAATAAAACAGTTTTGGTACCTGTTTACAATGTCGTTCCTGAGCATATAGGCCTCTAGGTAACGTCCTCGCTACACCCAGACCGAGGAGCGCGGCCTCCAACGCTAGTGCCAGGTAAGTTTCTTCAGGATTTTTACTTCCTGCTACTGGGACATGTTGGTACCTAAATCAGAGGAGAAAAGTTAATTTAATCTATGTGGCACGTAAACCATTCTCTAATCTCACAGTTCTGTCAATGTTGCGTCATATTACCTAGGCGGTAGGCCTGTATTAGGCTCCTCGTCTAAGTATGCTGTGTGAAGTCTTGGTGATGCGCGTTGGTCGTCCGGTGCCAGACAAGCGTCCGCAAGACACTCGTAGACACACCAGATCGCTTCTAGGGGCCAGCCCGTCCAACATCTGCTGTCTGCAAAAGTTAAAATAATAACTGTAAATTTACTAAAAATCACTGGTCGTCTTTGCTATCTTATATTATTTATTACTACTTTGTGTATAACCCAGACCTATTTTATCTATTATCGAAAACGATTAGAAAAGCAGTTAGAGCAAGTCATAGGTATTTTCACAAAATCTATTAGAATATTTTTATCGTTGCTTTAGTTTTAACTTTACTTTATTTTTAGTACTACTTTCGAATTTGATTTTTAAAAAAATGTTTAAACATATTACTGCAGATGTGTTAGTTTGTAAAATACTAATTATAACATAATATACTTAAAATAAGCCCATATTAGAATGGTATACACAAAACATGGTATTAGTCACAATTAATGTCTTAAGGTAACATTGGTCCGTATGCGTTACCTCTGCCGATGCAGCGGTGCGAGTGCGAGAGCGCGCATGTGGCGCTGGAGCCGAGGCAGGCGCCGAAGTCCATGTGCGCCGTGACTTGCGCCACGCGCGCGCGGTCCGTGCACGCGCCCGCGCACGCGTCCGCTCCGCCGCACTCGCCCGACGAGCCCGACGCCTCGCCACCGCCCGCCTCCGCCCAGCGCGCCTGCGACACCTCCTACATGAACAAATACACACCCATTAATACTGGCTGAATTTACAATGCATACTTCTGCGCCATCTAGTGATGACGAGATGAACTACATGGTAACGAAATATATGACGCACATAATATACGACAATAACATCAACCGTTCAGTCACCACCTTAATTGGTGGCAATGTAGGGCGGCTCCCACACAAGAGATCATCTCTTTGTTTTGAAGGACACAGTTCCTCTAATATAAAGCCGAAAAGATTTTTTGATGTATAACGTCTTTCTCTCTCTCTTTCCTGTAATCTGTAGGAGTAATTCGTGATAAGGGACGGAACAGGAAGTGAGGGCAAAGTATACATAAATGAATAGTATGAATACAATTAATAGACAGATAGGGTACCTGTCGATGTCGCATGGCCCTGGCGGCGCTGACGGCGAGGCGGAGCGCGGCGGGGGCGCGGCCGTGCGCGCGCAGCGCCTCGATCCGAGCGCCCACCACAGGCAGGTGCTCTGCGAACAACACGGGCTCGTTTAACACGGTAGCTAAAGCGGTTTTATTCAGAGTTTTGACAGTTATTGTCATCATCTAACAGTCCACTGCTGGACATAGGCCACGCTGGCCAGACGGGTTGGTATAGGGTTTGTTTCAAGTTTTCCTTCTTTTTGCTCCCCTAGTCGGCTCTAACGACACCCACGTGATCAATAGGGGTGGTAACACTCTGTATTCTTAATCCGTCACCACACGGAGAGTTTTTATAATAAATTTGAAAAAAAAAATTTTTGGTGTAATAAGAGTTTTTTTAATAGTATTATAGAGGGGCAAAAGGGCGCCGGGTTTATACGGTCGTAAGTGACTACCGCCGCCCATTGATACCTCTAACTTCAGAAGTCTAAAGTCAGAAGCGAGTTGGTGCTCATTAAGTTCCCCCCAGAACAGGTTTGGGCTCCCTTAACCTCACTCTATGAAAGGCAACGAAAGAATTGCTTAATCGCTGTTGAGTTGCCAACCCATTTGAACCGAGCATGGCTCTGTCATGGTGACCTTTATTACTTGTTCTAAATACTCTCCGTTACTTCCCTTCAATACACAGTTTATTTCACATGATATATCATTTTAAATTACACCTGACACTCACCATGCCATAAGGGCTGTCCAAGGTCGTTAAACTTGGGGTAAGGCTGTAGCGTGGTGCTAGTCGAACTGCCGGGTTTCTCCGGCTTGTCGGGGTCGCAGTATTCATCGCTACCTAGGATATTCTTCAGATGCTCATTCTCCCATGATATGTCGACAGCATCCAGCGCCCTGGAAGCAAAAACTCTAACGTTAAAAGAATCCAGGCAAGGATCAAACTCATTCATTTAAATAAACAAAAGTTAAAAAAAAACACTCATGTAATTGGCCGAACTAAAAAGTGAAAAATAATATTCTATGAGTACGAAAAGAAAAATATAGTGATTTAGAAAAAAAACTAGATTGTCGTAAAAATAAACTAGTAGGGTATCTCCGAAATGTCAAACAACAACTTTAATAAAAAACAAAAGTGGGGTAATGTATAAATGGGGTTGGGGTACTTACTTATGGAAGACAGTTCGTGGTGTGAGTGGGGGCGCGGATCTTTGGTTGTGTAGTCTTAATCTCTTACTCGCTCTTCTATATTCACGTTCATAACTGCAAGTAAGTTTCAAAATCTAGACACTTTTCACAAGTTTTCTCGACAAATACAAGAGGAGTGTGTATAAAGTTTATGTTGCATCAGTTACACCGTTTGCGTTGAAATATTTAAGGGCGGAATGCTTGCTTGAAACTTGTTATGTGAAGAATAATAAATCACAAAAATAAGTAATTGCATAGGAATCGAACACACGGTGTTCTACTAGATAGCATTCAAACGTTGAAATCTGAGTCTAAGCGCAGTAGTGTTCAATTTGAGCTACAGAGTGATTAATCATCTGTAGCTCAAATTATTAGCTCTTCTGTTAACTTTGAAGTGATCTAAGCGAACAGAAGAGTAATCCAGCGACTTTGGCGATCATTTTGGACTATGCCTAGCTATTGATTGGACTTATTTAAGTGTTAACTTGAACATTGGTATATTTTGGTGAATAAAGTCTTTTAACACGTCAGTCTTTAACACGATTTAGACGTCAGCAGATATTTTATTCCAAATAAAGGAACCTAACCAATATTTTACCTGAAAAAGTTCAATACTTACTTATTAGGCCTAGATTCTTCATCAGAACTCTCCGAATGGGAATGTAATTCTCTTCTCTGTCGTTCTCTATGTCTTTCTCTGTCTCTCTCCTCCCGTTCGCGCAGTCTTTCTCTGTCCCGCTCGTCGCGGTCACGGTGTCTTTCTCTGTCCCTGTCTCTGTGATCTCTGTCACGATCTCTTTCGTTTCTTTCCCTTTCTCTCGCGTACTGTAAACAATGAAGTTGGAAGTGTTTGCTCATTTGTTTCAATACCTACAAAAATATGTTTGAGGATGTTTTTTTAAACAAAGTGTATGAGAATGAATTAAGAGATACCTTAAAATCCATTTTCTCTTTACTTTACAAAGCAATTTTCGAAGTAGAAACTTCTTTAGGCTAATTGGGCATTTTTTATAAAACCAATAAAATAATTTATTTTATGGGAAAAAACCATTGAACCCGCGACACTGTTATCATTACCGACACCTCTGTTGAACTGAAAACTTCTTTAGGCATGTTGGGCATTTTTTTAATTTCGGAAAAACAATTGAACTCGCGACATTGTTACCGTTACCGACACCTCTGTATATGTTTACACTTCTGTCGGCACTCCCGCAGTGCCACTGTTTGTTTTTTATATGACAAAGGGGACAAACGAGGTAGGAGTCTGGTGGTAAGGGTAAGTCACAAGAGCGTTGCCCCCTTTTGAGTCCCTCAGAGAATCAGGAGGAGAGGGAGGCTGGGCTTTAGTCTATCCCATACAGCTGATTGAACTAATAGTAGGTACCATTGATTTCATTCTCAGGTATATTAGTTGTGTGGCAAATTAAATTTTACATTGTTGTGATCACACTGAAGTGTAATTAACTACATTGTGGATTGCATTCTATAATGCCTCTCTTGTGAATATATGACAATAGTTGCTTAAAATATTTAACCATTTTCGACTGGTCTGTTGGTCTAGTGGTTGTGACCCTGACTACTGAGCCAGAGGTCGTGGGTTCGATTCTCACCGAGGACAAATAATTGTTTGATGAGCATGATCATGTGTAATTTACTTATCTATAATTTGTATGAATTTGGAAAACTATAAGTTTGTTTATCAGAAGTCTAGTTACCATAGTAAAGGCTCTGCCTAGAATAAGGCTAAGACTACCGTGTGTGAGAAGCGTGAAGTTATTATTATTATTAACCCCAAGTTCATAACTATATTATAACTTACCAATGGAAATGATCTGTGGTCAGGATCTTCAGTAGGACAAACTTCAACCGCTGACCATTTTTCTAATAAATGTCTCCATTGTATCCTATGATGTTTATTGCTGCCAGGGTCCAGCACTATACTGACCCATAACGCCCCTAATTGTTCCCAAAGCTGCCTACACTTCTCTGTCATAGGAGTGTTCTGGTTCCTCCATAGAAGTAGTCGAGGATCCGATAGGAACTGTTCAGTCATCAGCATCAGCATTCGTGGGCCATTGGAATCTTGAGCTCGGAGCATTTCTCTAACCTTAAAAATTACAATGTTTTATAAGTAACTTAAAACGATTTTTATTTCCTCCATTTTGTTTTGTTTCTATGTACGTGAAATTCGGTAGTTAATTTAAATCTCTTTATAAAACATCAAAACGCAACATAAGACTTATGAAATAGGAAGCTGTGGCGTCTCAAATCTTGCCATAGTCAAATTATTTAAGTTTGGTAGTGGAAATTTAAAAACTAGTAACTTTTTATTTTATTTATTTTAACATATATATTAGTTACTACTGTGATGATAATGAAATGATTGATCTGAGACCTTTACTGTTGAACACTTATGTTTTATCAACTCACCTTAGAAAATAATGAGTTGAGTTGTTTATTAGCATTGTAGTATGTCCCCTGTAACAAATAAGCTCGCACTTGTTCGCAGACCTGAAAACAAACCAATTTATCTGATTTTTAGTTGTCCCATACTCTTCAGGAAAATCAGAAGAAAAGCATAAATTGCGCGATGCAGAAAATTATTTAGTTACAACTTCATAGCGCAGCTAGTCTACGGTAGATGGCGTTGAATTATATTTTTCTGAAATATTATTAGGTACTTAGCTTCTGTGTGTACTTGTAAACTCTACTAGTTTGGTTTTAATAAATTTATAACAATGAAGGTACCTGCTGCTCATCCAAGTGCCATGCGTGATGAGCATCCGGTGGAGGCCCAGCGGTAGGGTCTGGAGCTCCACAGATCCTGTTGATCGCCGATCTGGCCTGTAGGACCTCGTCGGCGAGCCGCTGCGCTGTTGGCAGCACTTCTGTGTGGTGTTCTGCTATCAGATACTGAACGAACTTCTGTAACTGCTGTCGGTCCATTTGCAGTAAAGTTTCTATAAACAGAAAATTGCCTTGTTAGCTTATAAAGTACTTATTACATTGTTTGGTACTTTTCTAATGTGGCAGATCAAAGCCGCGATAGAAATTCGATGGAAACTAAACCGAATAACTTAACTTACAATCACGCTACAATCTCGAACTGATGCTGAAAACAGCAAAGGATGATAAAGAACTTTTTTTTTATGTTAGACGGGCAGACGAGTAGACGGGTCACCTGATGGAAAGTGACTATCGCCGCCCATGAACGTCTGTAACTCAGGAGTCACAAACGCCTTGCCGGCCTTTAAGGAAGGAGTACACTCTTTTCTTGAAGGTTTGAAGGTCGTATCGGTCCGGAAATACCGCAGACGATAACCCGTTCCACAGATTGGTAGTGCGGGGCAAAAAGTGTTTCGAACTAATCTATAACTGGACTAAATAGTCAAAGTCTAGTGTTAATCCTTATGAGATAAATCTTGCTTTTCCTGTACGATTGGGAGGATTGGCCACTACTTTGTAACCGCTGGATAACCGACATATACTCGTGAACATACATACATTCCCGTTGGTATCCCGGAAGACATTAGCAGGAGTACCCAACTATAATATTACAGTCTTAAGAAGTAGTTAAGGTACAATATCTTTTTTTTCTGTCCTAGAACGGAAATTAGGTATTTGTATCAACTAAATTCGAAGTACATTTCGTACTTCTACCGCACATCTAATGCTTCTGATTTAAATAGTAATGGTCTGAGAATTAAAGACTGCTAATTATGTCTATATTAGGTGCCTGGAGCACATTCAATTTTAGATTCCTAATGGGTATCCACCGAGAATTGAAGTTTTCGTTCAGGTAAATGTAGAATGTTCTTACCTGATATAGGCACCCTGAGCCTGACGGAGTCGGCATTTCTGATACGATATAACGCCAGCGCCACGACATGCTGACACCAGAAGATGTCGCGAGCTTCGCAACTGCATGTCACTCCGGTTATTTTGCATCTGTCAATCAAGTTTATTTATTTTAGATTTGTTTAGCTTTTTTTATGATATAGAGGGCGACCGAGCACACGGGTCATCTAATAGAAAATGACTACTACAAAGAACACCTGTAGTTAGGAGTCATAACTGTATAATTAATAATAACAACACAATATTTTTTAATAGGTATATGTGTCCGCAATGGTTAAAACTAAGCAAGCAGTGTGAAAATCGTTGCGTGTGTTTTCGTGTAGAAACTTAAATCCCAAACGGATGCAGTGAAAAGGTTGAAAAGACAATATTTTTAAGCGTGTTTAGTTAAAATTTTATCTTATCTAAAAATATCATCTCTAGTCAGGTATCGGTGGTTTTAATGTGTGACATGAAGTGACTTCATAACATGACATTTTCTAATCTTTTAATTTAACTCCAACACGTCAACGTAGCATACAATTTTGCACACGCATTAAATAATAGATGCTAGACTATAATTTATTATAATGAAAATTGATTACTACTGTTCGTGTCAAAAGTAACTTTTAATTATTTTAAAATGAATATAACATTCTTGGTAAAAACACAATGTTACCTACTATAATTTGATTGCACACTAGTCTGTAGGAATTAAAGATGAGGCAATTGAGAGCGTGTATACTTATTGGAAGGGAAAGGTAGGTAAGTATGGAAGACAAGGCAAGGATTGGGATATAACTAAATACCATGGTTTGGTGACCGTTAGCAATATTTTGAGAAGGTAAGGATGCCATATCTATAACTATATGAGCTATAATAATTTAATTTACACAGAAATAAAAAAAAATACCAACCTGTCGAAGGAAACTGTGACCCTGTATAACCTTTCTGGCTCTGAACATGGTGGTACCGCAGCTGGTGCTCGAACCACACCACTTAGATGGAAACCTGGAAATTAAGAAGACACTATTGACTATCTATGTAATTTGGAAGTAACTGGTATGCAGTTCTTTTTCTTTTTTTTTTAAAAGACAACTCCCGCATTAGGAAAATATCCTATGTCGCGGGAGACCTTAGAAACATACATGAAACGGACACAAAGAACACCCAGACTCAGAACAACAGTTTGTTGATCACACAAAGTGAGTGGGTTCGAACCTCACATCATGTGGTTTGAACCCACTCTCACTTTGTGTACAACCCTCGGCGTAGTAGGCAGCGGCGTGGCGACCGCTTAAACCACTACGCCATCCGTGCAGTCAGCAGTTACTTAATTATTTTTTACTAATCAAGTAAGTTTTGGCCCTATTCTGTGAGAGGGCCTAAAGGACCCTTAGATCCGCTCAACTTATTGAAGAATATAATTAAATTCGTTTTCCATTATCTAAAGTAATAATCGGTATTGCACTTGTGATTTTAAATTGTGAGTGAAAATATGAGATAGTTACCCTAGTCACCGTTAAGACACCAACCGGTAACGTTTTACTTCTATTAGGGGGCGTTATGATTCTTTCAAAACTTCGCTGAATAAAAAAGGTTTGTATCTTCAGCTGTTAGCGTAACAAATGCAACCTTTTTTTAGGATATCAAATGGTCGGAAATGAAAAGGTATCATATAACAAATATAAAATCTAAAACAAATTTTATCCAGTTTCTTGCAGTTTTTTATGTAGATACTTGTTAATCATTTCTTGATTTACATATGTCTAGGTATCCATTCATACGATTCTGAGATTTGCGCCATTTTTTAAAGACAATAGGAACCTTAAACATTTCCCATCATGTATAATTACGGTAAAATTAAAAACGGAATCTGCACGCAAGTCCCTTTCGGTTAGCAGAGAAAACATATTAGAAAATTATATTTGCATCGACTTTAACGATTTCAAAAGTGTTTAATATTTAGTAAATAGCCCATTAGAGCGGCAACAGTTTACAAAATAAATGTCGGCCATTAATATTTTAACGGCTTCGTTGTTAAATTTGGACGTAACGAACTTAACTGGTCATATCCTGTAGGTATTTTAAAATTAAACATGTTTTTATATTATGCTATATTAATACTGTTCATGACCTAATTTGGTTAAAATGTAAAATTAGATTTCTGTCAATTTAGACAGGAACATTTTAAACGCTTACACTTTGCCAACTATAATTCCAGTTCCGCTCAATAGGGGACAAACTATTTTACCACCAACCGGGCTAAAAGTATACTTGCAAGTAGTTCCCTATATATTCTAATTGTGTTCAATATTTAATCTATACTTCATTAGGATACTTTAAAAAAACAGTTTTAACTAAATTGAAAAGTCATTCGTAAAAAATTTACTCCAATAATCGACTCCAAGGTCTCAAAAGTCGAAGGTTCTCAATTCGGTTGTTCTTTTTTTAATGTTTGTTACCGTACAACTTCTGTCACTCATAAACCGATTTGGAAAATTATTTTTTTATTTTAAAGATTAGATTGTCTGTTAATTTAAAAAATGGACATAAAGTGTTACAGTGTTACATTTAATTATGTCTTTTAAGGAGCAATAATGTCATTTTACATAATAATAATACACTTTATTTCAGACACCTTTATTCCATAGTATGTTAGTAACATTTAAAAACTAATTTTCTAGGTAGGCAATAATAATGAACCTACTAATAAAGCTTCTCATAAAGGGAGAACTCAGGTTCTCCGAAGCAGTTCTCAGGATACTGTTACGGCTGTCTCTAACTCTTCTCAGTAGTTACGCTTTGCTTGCGAATAATCGCAATCGTTTTTTATATTATTATAACTCTTTTGCACCTAACGTTCCTCATAAATCACGTCCATGAACTGACACCAGATCTCTTAATTTAGATTACGTACATATCATTATTAAATTGCACATGTAATTTTGTAATGTGTAAATTGTAAGAGAAATTAAATATAGTTTATTATCATTATTAGCGTTTTGTCAAGCAGACAGATAGACAGAGGCGATGGAGGGGAACTGTTTCGTAAAAACTGATAGTAGTAGAGATAAAACAGCTGTTATTTTTGTAAAACTATTGTTAATATATCATTATCAAAATTGCGGTACTTATTAGCAATAATATTTGACAACCTGATCCCACGTCCGCTTCTAAATCGAAGAAAAAAATAACCGTGAGCTAAAGAACATTTTTAATAAAGCTACGACCATGTTATATAATAATTTGATTTCCAAACTAATTTAACGTTCTCACGAACACGGAAGAAAGACTTCTAATTCAAGTGCATTCGGCACAATGTAGTGGCACCCTAGTTATTGAACTGAATAGATTCGGTACGAAATTATTCGAGCCGAGTAATCATGGCATCGAGTTCTAAAGCGAATCGATTACGATTCGTCAGGCTTTGAAATACGAACTCCTTTGCCTTGTGCAGCTTAATTTTTTATTTCGACAATGGGTGCGTTTTTAAAATTCGAACGCCTAATCGCAGTGTTTTGTCGTACCTATGTAGGTATGTAGTTAATTTTTAGTTTTCACTTCTCAAAATGTAAAAGAAAATATGATTAATTTTTTCTTCATGCCTTATGTTTAAATATTACAACTAAATTTTTGGTGAGTGATCCAAGAGCTTTTAAATAAAAATTTGCACAAAATTGAAGAATTTTAGTCACTTGATAATCTTTTCTTACTTATACTTATTAATTATGTACAAAAGTTATTTTATTTATTGACTGAATACGCTGAAAATATTAGAGTTAAATACTGGGTAGTTTGTACCTAATTTGGGGTATTACTTTATTAATACTGTCTAAGACCTAGAAAGTTTATAAACTAAACTTTCTAGGTCCTAGACAGTATTAGACAGATTTATTTTTCAACTATGTAAAGATTTATAATTTCTTGAAAAGTTATTTCTTATACCTACCTACTATTTTACTTTATGCGCCTACTATTAGTGTCAAGTAAAGAAATAAATTCAACAAATCTTATACTACCACGCTACTTGTTTTACCAAATAGCTATGAATCGTGAATAAAACAATAATTTAAAATCAATTCATTTATATCTAAAACCTGTAATTGAAAATAACTGGTTTTGACTACAACGTACGAAAGCAATTACCTATTATCAGCATTGAGAACGAATTGAGTGTTTTTTTTTATTTGAAACACAATCAATTATTCAAGTATTTCGATGCGATAAATCGCAACGGACCAATACGAAATCGATGGAAACAAGATGGCGGTACTGTTGCAAAAGAAAAAAAACATTTGAAAAGCGATTGCGCGTGAACAATAGTACTACTTAAAAATGTTTACGGCAAGGCGTACTAGATTAAATTTCGTGATTCTTTTTTATAAATACACTTTTTAGGAGATGCAAGGTAGCCCTACAAGAAAAGAGGTTGTTACGAAATGTTGGTTACACACCTGGTTGCGCTGGTTTTAATTTATCGCATCGCTTAATAGTAATATCACAGGATTAAAGTGATGAGAGATTGACCTGTTTAACAATTAGTTGGAATAGATTAGCGTTAGATTTACACTGATCCTCTTATAATATATCGAATAGGAAATAAGTAACAACAACAACGGCAAGCAAGTACTACCTAATCGGTCTATCAAACTTTTTTGTGTTTTTAAGTTATGCGTTTAATATCAAATGATAAATATGGCATTAATGATAATGTCCAGACACTTTGTAAACTGACGAATATTAGTAGTCCTATTTTAATAAAATCAATAGTAATACGTAAATTGATCGCTCAGTACGAATGAATTCTGTTTGAAGGATTCTAAATTCAAATGGGTTTACTGTTGTAAACATAGAGATATAAGTAAACAAGAGCCCCGAACTTGCAATATAGGCAACGAGAGAGATGAATAACAGATTATAGTTTTCTAGTCTGAAATTTTGTAATCTCCCGCCTGTTCTACGATCAAAATCATGCCCGCTTCACGGTAGCCAATCACAGAGACAGAGGCACACAGGCAGCTGTTCCCCGAGTTGTCTCTATGGTTGTATATATTAATTTTCTAATTTAAAAAAAACGTGACCACTCAGGTACTGGAAACCAAGTATTTGAGTCAATATTTAAATTTGTCGTTATAGTTATGTAAAAACTCTCATCTAGCGTTATGGCGGTATTTGCAAATTACATTCAAATTTGGAACGTGGCGAGCGCTGATGCGGCGGACACGCGTGGAGGCACGTTCGTTATTAGAACTGATCCCTTGCGTTGTGTTCTATTAAAAGGTTATGGCCATATTTGCCCTCGAAAGTATTTAAATTTTAAGTAATTATTTTTCATTATTATACTCGTACATATATATCCGTATCAGTGTGGTGACGGATTTGGAATACGGAGTTTCACCACCCCTATTCGCCTCTGGGTGTCGTAAGAGCCGACTAAGGTAGCCAATTACGTAGAACAACAGCACTGCAAAGACAAAGAAAACTTTGGCACAAGCCCTATACCAACCCGTCTGGCCAGCCTGGTATAGTAGGTCAAAACCAAAACCTCCTTTCTAAGGAGAAGCCTGATGATACATATTTATTGTTACTATATTTACAGTTTATAGGCCGTGTATTTAAAATTAATGGAACTCTGAAAGTTTTTTTGAAGTTTGTGGATTCCCGATTAACGACAAAATTCATACAGGCAGGACTAATTATTGTAGACTGACATAATACCAGAGCTATACTGGCAGCAAGCCATTTTAAAAAAAGGGGTCTCTCAGCAAGTATTAATAGTATACTGTAAGGTAATATCAAAATTTGATGATATTCTCTACTGAGAACAAGTTGTCAGTCAACTGCAGAGCGTGCTATTACCGCTTATGATAGCATCAAGCCTACACAATTTAAATGCGACCGTGTTCTCAATCAAATTAAGTAGTGACATAAAAACATAGTATAACATTATCTATAACATTATAACTTCGGTATTAGCAAATCAATGGGCTTGACGGCCTCATACAAGGAACTCGATAAACCTGCCTGCCGCTACTTGTTGGGCGACCCTCTGACTACAGGTCGTGTTGCAGTCTGTTGTTTAAACATCACTGAATTATATACATATTATGGTCACTGCTCAACTCCTATTCATCGTGGCCTGATGTTAAACACTCTAAAACTTTTTCGAAGGGCTAAGCTATTAAATGCATAAACTATAATTGCATTCAAGGTAGGAAAAACGTTAGTACTAAGGCATTTACTTATTATTCATACAGTCGCGAGGTCCTAGAAGTCTGTGAACGTCCCAGGAGGCTTCTGTGCTTCTAGAAGGAGCTAGGCGAGTTGAACTGGTCGGCCTCATCTGTGGCATCATGAACTGAGACTAAACGCATAAACATGACTTTCAGCTAATACCAATTCGGTGTCTCATTTTAAACGACAGTTATATATTTTATCATCATCAACAGCTTTTAATAATCCACTCCTGGACACGAGCCTCTCCTCAGAAAGGAGGTTTCGGCCTATTATACCACGTTGGCCAGACGGTTTGGTATAGGGCGTGTCAAGTTTTTCTTCTCTTTGCAGTGCTGTTGTCCTGCGTAGTTTACTCCCTTAGTCGGCTCTTACGACACCCACGGGATCAATAGAGGTGGGGACAATCCGTATTCTTAATCCGTCACCACCCGGACACCACCACCGGAAATATTTAAGGGCGGAATGCTTGCTTGAAACTTGTTATGTGAAGAATAATAAATGGCATTCCGTTTTCTTAATCTGTCAATACACGGATAATATTTACATATTTAGTTTTCTGAAATACAT